TTAGGGTTTATATGCGGGCTTTGGGTTCGGAAGGTTTGGGAGTTTAGGGGTTTAAGTGTTTAGGGGAGACTGGCTTCTGTGATGTAGCCTCTTTGGGCTTGGAGTCTAGGGCCAAAGTTCATGTTTTCTGGATCCCAGACACAACACCTAGCTGAATTCCAAGATACTTTATTTCAGTATATACTCCCGAGTTCGAAACCCTAGATTCCCGCAACTGCTATATGCAAAATTTTTTGACCCAAATCCGAAACCTCGGCCTTGCCATACGAAATGCATACTCTAGAACCGAAGCCTTTATTCTTGGGTTTAGGGTTTAGGGTTTAGGGTTTAGGGTTTAGGGTTTAGGGTTTAGGGTTTAGGGTTTAGGGTTTAGGGTTTAGGGTTTAGCCACTCCACCAAACTCGGAAAACCCTCTGCCGTTCCCACAAACCCTTCTCACCCACAACAGAACCTTGCACCCAGAATGATTTCTCTGCCCTAAACCCTCAACCCTTGAAGAGGGCTGATCCAGCTGAAGCACCTGCAAGCCGAATTGCCATAAGCCGCAAACGGCATTGCAGTCTGTGCAAAAAAACTCAAGACTTTCCTGAACCTCTGGGATGCCCGAACCCCTAAACCCTAAGCCCCAAACCCTAAACCCTAGCGGTTCCCTTTGCGTGCCAGTTCGCCAGCACCAGTCTTGGCTAGGACAGATGGGTGCATCATCAAGGACTCGGCCACTTCCTGGTGAGGTCCGAGGGTTCCAGGTTTCAGGGGTGCACCATTAAGGGCTGAGCAGTGAAGTAACCAAGAAGGAAACATGTAAACGTGCATGTCATAACGGCTCCATTAAGGAAAAGGTCCCCAAAAAAGAACTAGTTCATTGTTGGGATAGGATTAAAAATGTACATTTCTATTCCTTATTGGGTTTAAGTACCATAAAAATGTAAAATGCTACCCAACTACGACAAAGAGAAGCATGAAAGTCTGGTATTCCAGCACCCAGGGACTTTGCCACTTCCCGCTTGGTGTTTAGTGTTTAGGTTCTTGGCCCCATGGGTCCCTTTTGGCGGGTTGTGGGCCCGAAGCATTAGGGTTTCAGGGCTTATTCGGGGCTTATGGTTTAGGGTTTTTGGGTTTAGTGGTATACTGCTTCAGCGCTTTTGTGTTTGTGTTGTGTTTTTCTGTGTTTTCTGGGCCCTCTTTCCGTCTAGATCTAGGACGAAAGGGTTTCGGAGTTTGGGATTTACTACAATTTCAAGCAGATTCGGTTGTGAGGACTGCTCTGGGGCTTGTCAACACAACACAGCTTCCGGCTGCGATGGCGTGGGCATGCTTTGGGGGTAGGGTTTGGGGCTTAGGGATTGTTTAGGGATTTAGGGTTTTTGGGTTTACGGTTTAGGGGGGTATCGTTCTTGAAGTTTCTCCCCTCTGGTGGCTTCAGGGAGCTTCACAACTCCTGTCAATGCAAGATCGTGCGATACGCTCGGACATCGGATGCACAAGCACGCATGCGGACTAGGATCCCCAGTGATGGGTGCAATTGACACATTTATTCTCGCAGCTCAGTAGGCAGTTCTCTGCCGTTTTGGATCTTCAAGAGGATGCATCTGTCTAAGTACGGACTCTGAAAAACCGTAAGCAATGTGCTGCCCAAGACTCTGACTGCAGGTACTCCATCATTTTCGGGCCTTCGACAAGGCTCTTGGGTCCAATAGGTGAGAGGCTTTCTAGGTCTCAAAATAGTACGGCACCCAAACCATTATCTTTCTGTCTCAAGAATAGTACGGCTCCTCTTGTAAGAGAGGACCGAAAAGAGGCCCGATATTTGAGAACGACTACGCATATCTGGGCAGGCGAAGCCCTCCTTGGAAGCTCAGGCGTACTGGGGTTCCCTTTCTGACTTGTCCAGTAGCCTTTAGCAGGGGCCCCCACCCTGTAGTAGTGGTATAATAGGAATATAGTAGGGCCCCAATATAATCCTTGTAGTCACTATTACAGGGTGGGGGCAGCTTCTAAAGTAGCCTGAAGGATTTAAAGGTTGACCTTCGGGACTATATTGGGTTTATAATGTCCCAGGAAGGTTCTGTTTGATCTAAAGGTTAGCCGCTAACCAACGGTTAGCCTTTTGGACTCAATAGGGGTTATACTATCCCAAGAAGGTCAAAGGTTAGCTACTCTACTACGAGGCTTTAAGGTGCGGACGAGGAAAACACGTGAAAAGACAGGCACACGGCTACCAGACAGAGAACAAGCCGGGAGTTGTCCCTACTCCGACACCATTCCTGACCAACACGAGCCACCAGCACGAGTCATTGTTCTTGCACCAGCATAAGCCGCTGTGCCAGCAACACCATCGCCAGCCAGCACCAGCAGAAGCACTCCTAACAGACCACCCCGCACTCACGACAACTCCTTCTCCCACGATGGGGATTAAACCCCTCGACTAGAGAACCCAAAACCCAAGTCCTTTTCCCCTAAGCCCCAAACCCCAAAAAACCAACCAAAAGCCTAAATGCCTAAAGCCCTAGAACCCTAAACCCTAAAGCCCTAAACCCTAAACCGTAATTCCTAAAGCCCTGGACCCTAAACCCCTCTCCGTCGAGCCTTGCCATGATAGCACCGAAGCGGCCGCAGTCTTCACCTCCGAAGACTGGGCTCTTCTTAGGGAGCTGAACTAAGATATCATAATAGGTGATCTATCTAGATTGAGTTACCATAAAACGGGCCTATAGAAAATTGCACAATGCCATTTGTAGTAGCTTTCATGAAGTTATCAGGATAGGGGTCCAAATTAAGTCGTCGTGGATTTAACAGGGTCGCAATTAAGTTATCAATAGTTCGAAGCGTCACGGAAACAACAATGGAATTGTAGCATCAAGCGAGCACGCATGGCACTGTGGTAGGTATGACGGACATTAGACATGGACCCAGTATCTTCCATGCCGAAAGCCAGGTGAGGGGTGTTCGTGCTTCTCGGAGCTGCACAAAACCTTGCAAAACACCATAGCACCGGCGCCCAGATGATCGAAGCCTAAATGTAAAACACCAAAGCCCTGATCCCTAAACGCCCCTAAACTCAGAATTCTTGAACCCTCGAACTCATAATCCCTAAACCCCAAAATTCACAATCCCTAAACCCGAAACCCAAATCCATAAACCAACTACATTAATCCTGTATAACCCATATCGCACCCTTACAGCCTTAAGGCAGAGATATGGAAACCCACAACAAGGAAACCTCAAAGCAACCCCCAAACCCTAGACACTAAACCCTAGGACCCTAACCCCCCACACAACCCTAAATCATAAACCCTGAACCCAAAGCCCTGAACCCCTAAACCCTAGAACCCTAAACCCTGAAAGCTCCAGACGCCCGAACAGCCCCTAAACCCTAGAATCGAAGCCACAAAGTTGGAACATCATGAATCATTGACCCCCATGCTCTTAAGGTAAAGTATAAGGGATCCTAGCACTAATCCTCCTAAAGCCATGTTCCAACTTTCTGGCTTCTACTATAAACCCTCAAACACAAAGCCCCTGAGCCTCCGCGAGGGCATCACTGGTCTGCAGGGAGTCCATTTGTCGGAGTACGCCCTCTGAACAGTGCTTTGGGGTTTAGGGTTTAATATAGGGGCTTTGGGTTTGGGCGTTCATGTAGGGGCTTAGGGGTGTCATATACTATGACCATATGGGGACGATACGTGGATACCATCCCTCCCTAATTATTCCGACCCCTACGTTGCGTTTTCGGGGGCGATGTCGGTCCTTCCCTGTGGGACCTTCGAGGGCAAGAGCAGTTAGGGTTTAGAGTTTCGGGTGTGGGGTTTAGGGTTTAGGGTTTAGGGATTTAGGGATTTAGGGTTTAGGGTTTAGGGATTTAGGGTTTAGGGTTTAGGGTTTAGTGTTAAGGGTGTATGGGGCTTCGGTGAAGATTTTGGAAGACAGGTCTCAAGAGTCTATAGAGACATGGGGGGGGTGCCATGTTGTCTCTCTCTAGGAACCCCATTAGTTAGTCAGGGTTCAAAGTGTCGGTTTATCCTTACGCTACTTCTATCATTATAGTACCCTTGAGTCTCAACCCTAAGCCCGTAAACCCCCAACACCTCAGAACAGCGAGCCCGAAGCCCTAAAACCCAAGTTCCCAGTCCCAGCAAAACCCGAACGCCGTAAATCCCAAACCCTAAATCCCTTCATATCCTCTAAAGACGCCTCACAGAATCACTGTAGCACCTTCTGAGGATTCGCTAAAGGAAAACCCAAAACCCTAAAATCTTACAGAACCTGAGGTCCTCCGAAGACATGGCTTGCGCATAGCGTGCGAAGCCCCGAAATTCAAAGGGGAAAAGGAAGGACCCTTAATGGGGACCCCTACCCTATAATGGGCTGTATACTGGGTATATAATAGCTAGATTAAGGCTTATAATGGGCTATATAATGGGTATACGGTATATAATAACTATATTAAGGGTTATAATGTGTATACACTAGCTATATTTAGGGTATATACCTAGGGGTCCTTCTTAAAGGGTCCCTCCTTTTACCCTTGGAGAAATCAAAGCCTCGACGATGGGAATCATATGATCGGCCAGGGACTCCAACCTGATTCAGTGTTCCGGGGATTTAATCTAGGGGTTAGGGCTTTAGGGTTTAGGGTTTAGGGTGTACCTACACCCTCCAAACCCTTATAAAAGGTAGGTTGCTTGGGAAAACCAGGTTTTAAGGTAAAGAACGCGGTTCTGTGTTTTTCGGGAATTGTTTGGGTGTTGTTGTGTTGAACATCACTGGCATGATTCGGCAATCGAAGTTGTGCTTCCTTGCATTGCACTTAAAGAGAAGCTCGCTCCACGATTGTTTTGGGCTCGACAAAGCCTGGCTGCTGTGCTCAGCGGTGACTGGCCGCGCACTGAGAAGGCATGTGCTGTCCACGACATGTGGGAAGACCCAGAGAAAGAAGTGCTTATGAGGTGAGTCGAATTATATCCTGATGCTTATGATGCGAGGTAGATTTTCAAGTACAGTCACATGTCGCGGAGAAGCCCGGCCGATCGAAACTGCCTATGAGCTGCCGTGAGAGACCGAAGCAGTGTGCGATCGATAACTCGCCGAGGATGAACTCGCCTGCTTAATCGCGAGGGTCGGCCGATGAAGTCCTCCTCGACTTGACAGCTCCACATCAAGCCGTTCTGCACCCAGGTCGAAACCCGAGCCTGATCTTCCATCCTGATCATAAGGTGCTGTAGTCGATGCAAGTTAGGCATAAACATGAACAACGGCCGGTTTTCGTCGTAAGCGCGCTTTGCACAGCGGCCGTTGAGCCTGAGAAAAGCCCGCCCATATGCAGCTATCTCCTTTGCTTTCGAAGCGATGATCCACAGTTTCTCGCGGTACAGCAGCGAAAAGAATTTGTTGATTTGCCATGCTGCTTGCCAAGACATAAACAGCAAGGAATCCTGGGCGATTGTGTCTCGCATCTCGTGGCAGTAGCAAACGAACCAACGCAGCAAACATAGTGTGGTGGAGCCTTTGCTCCACCCTCCCATTGCTGGCTCCGTTGCATGAGGCCAACCCAGCGTGTCCTGGTTCAACTTGCGGATGTAAGGATGCTGGCGATGGTGGCTGCACCAGTCGAAGAACTTTTCTTCCATCTTTTTGAAGCGAACCTGGAAGCTCTGACCATCGAAACTGTAGTTCAAAAGAGCCAGAGCGGAAGCCATAAAGATTTTGCCGGCGCCGAGATGAAAGCCGTGGAAGTAATCTTGGCCTGCGAAGCCGGATGGGTCGTCCGTGTCATGTGCCAACGTCATCAGAACCGGCGTCGTAGTATAGGCAGGGATAGAGTTGACAGTTTGCTTCCACCGCGGCACCTCGGATTCGAAATCCTCGAAAGGGAAGCCTGGCCTGTCGGCCAAACATGCATGACAGATCCCCTTTGGCACTTGTTTGGACGTCTCGCGCTTCGCGGAATTTCCAAATGTCCGATTGTAGTTGAATGCCTTGGCCAAGAATGGCCAATCCCCGACAATGTTGACGACGCATACATAAAACTTCTTGTCGTAGATAGGGGATACCAACCCTTCCTCGAAAAGCCTTCGCATATCCGGAACAAGATGGCCCAAAAGTCGCTGGAAGTTACCTGCAACCTCATCGTCGTACATGGCCCGTGGCAATACGGATAGCAAATATCGTGTGGCGAAGGTGTGGCCAAGAAAATTCAGTTCCTGTGTCGTGGACTCCTCACAAGAAGGCCCCGGAGTTGTCGATGGCTGGCTTCCACGGCCAAGAACAGCATGAAAAGACAATATCATGATTGCCGTTTTCTTGGCACTCCGTCCCTCGTCCCCGTGCACGAGGACGGGACAAGTCCTGCAAAGGTCAGCCGTCGATCGTTGAAATACTGGATGATTCGGTGAAATCCCACGAAAACGTTCCCAGAATAGCCCCAGTTGTCGCTCACATCGTTGCTCGTCCGGCTCTTGTAAACCACATAGGAAATACCAAAGGTTCTTCTCAAGAAAATACTTGATCCAGGATGACATGAACAGTAGGGCGATCTGCACATTGTTCAGTAGCGAAACACGGCTCAGGGGCACCCCAAGTCTCAACCGAAACTTTTTCCCCAATCTATGCATGTCCCTCTCGGCATCCCCAAGAGAGCACTTGGCAACCCTTCGCACTGAAGAAGTCGCTGCAGCTGGCATTTCTTCCACCACAGCCCGGGCAGACAGCACTGCCGAGCTGCATGCGGCCTCGGCAAAACGGAAGAGGTTTATGTTTGTGTCGTTACATGAGAAAGCACACAACTTCAGTTGCAGGGCAATGGCAATGCTCATGATGCAGACTATTTGTCTGTCTACCTGTCCAGGCATTTAATGGTCACTCGCTTGCACATGAACATTCAGTGTTCAAAGTTGTTTCCCATCCGCGAGCTGTGTCTGGAAGTGACACACACCCTTGCAGAGCAATCCTTGCCCAAGCGAACAACCATCAAACAGGCTTGTATTTGAAAGACCTGTACACAATGTATGTCATGTACACGCTCACCGAGGCGGCCCCATCCGTCCTCACATTATCTCCGCCGGATCGAGTGTTTCGGCAGCCAGGCGTGCCTCAGGGATGTTATCCGAAGGAATCTAGGGGCGCCTGTCTGAGTATGTAATTATGATTGAAGGGCCTGTATAAATAGATACAAAAGGTCCAAAAGCTATTGACTAAAATCACCGGCTTAGGCTCTTTGAAACTTATTGATGAGGGCGGCTTCGAGCATTGCCGGGCTGAAAGGTTCTTCGGCGATGTGTAATAAGCACATCTTCTCCCACTTGTCCCGATCCCATCTGTAACCGTAAATGGTATTTTCCCAGCGCCAGGAAGCATTGTGTGTGAAACCTATTTTGAATATCATAGGAGCATAACGATGGGACAGCCGATTCACAATATGAATTGCGTGGCTGAGAACACCCCCTGCAGTAGTAGCCCGGGCAGCCAAACACCATTCTATATCAGAATGCTCATCCACTTCTCGAAGCATAGACATTATCTTGCTGTCGGCCAAAACAGAATCCGAAACATGCGGTTTCCAGGCTGGCTTCGAAGCTGCCGCTAGCATTGGCTTTGAAGGCACGACCTCTGCAGTAGCCAAGCTTGCAGGGGGCTTTGTGCGGCAGCTAGCCACGTCCACGCATGATGGGTGTGGCCATGGATAGGGAGCATCATCGGCCTAAGTGCAATCATGGTTCGGGGGTTGCCAACTACACATGACATGACCTTGTTCTTGCTTGCTACAGACTAGCTTGCGACCGGAACACAGAGCGATGACAGGTCAGAAGATCCCATAGCTCGAGCTCCGGAGTCTCCATGACATTTGTATGTCACTCCGAAACACCTTAAACTCCTAAACAACCACCTGTTTTGAGCCAAGCCAGACTTTCACTTCGCAGCCGAACATGACCCTCAACTTTCAGACTAGTTTGATTTCGCAGTACATGTCCTGAAGGTTCGGAAGCGGCTGGCATCTGATGAGCTCCCGGCGCCATCTCCGATCAAGCGAAAGCAGTTCTTCGCCACCGGTCCGGGTTCTGGCGTGTGAGAGACGACGTTGGGCTTAAAATATTTCGGGATGAGGGGGCCTGCATAGGCACTGCTACACCCACATGTGCACATGCAAACACTTGCGAAGTTGTGTTTCTGGCACCGGAGATCGCGCATCTCAGCTAATCCTGGCCCCAGGTTTCATGGAGGCGAAGTCCTGTACTTCCCCCCCAGGACCGCACCATATCCCGGGGTTACCACAAGAGGACTCGGGGCGAGTCTTCGAGGCAGCAGACCATGACCACAGAAACCCTAAGTTTGTACGACACTTGCATTTGTATGGTCTCGAAACAACAGCACTTTGAGAACTGAACGGCCACCTGCTGTCACCCTTCACACATGTGCTCGCGGCAAGGACCACGAGAGCTGGCATCCAAAATCACATCAAGCTGGGGAGGCTGTGCTTGCAGCTTCTGACATGACTTGCACGGCAGACCTGGCTCCTGAAGTACAAGTGCACAATCTCTCCATACGTGAGTCTGCGAAGATTCTCAGGGCTAGGATTTATAGACAGTGTGGGAGGGATAACGTGTATACGAACCATAGGACTACCAGGGTTTGTATAGGTTTAGGGCCATAGGGTTCCTATATGGTTTATAAGGGGATGCAAGTCATGCGAGGCAGCCGCCTACTTCGATTTGGGCGCCGTCTTGGCTTTCGCCTTGGCCTTAGGGGCTCTCTGTCTCCCACCCGAAGGTGGTGCACCAGCTCCAGCGGGTGCAATCTCGCTCTTGGCAAAGAACTTCTTAGCATTCCTCAGTGCCGGTAACTATGAAGTGTGATCTGCAGACGGTATGAAAGTGGCCAGGAACACCAACATCCGAACCACTGTCCTGCTCTGCTGAGGTGCCTCACTTGCAACTCGGAGGCTGTGGCACGGCTGGCCCTGAACAGGGAAGTGTAGAGGTCAAAGAGTGTTGTAGGGACACATGGATAAGGATCCGGCGTCATTGTGGCATCTTTGATCTTCTTCTCCAGAGTCGTCCACCAACTGCAGCAGTGCGAGGGGACACGCAGGGAGGGAAGCGGTTTCAGTGCATGAAGGCCGAGTCAGTGTGGTCATTCGGAATCAAGATGCATAGCCTAAGGTTCGGGAGGATACCGTATTATCGTAATTGAAGCAGATTGAGGGAAAAGGGAAACCCGGCAATGTACGGTATCAAACCCCACGAGAGTCACGAAAGCAATTGAAGAAGCTGAGCTGGCCTCGCGGTGTGGCCGGCCACCTCCCCGTTAGCCTTGGCCTCGTTGATCTTCACATATTCTGCGTCCAACTTGGTGATGTGATCCTCGAGGGTCTTGATCGACCTGAATAAATGACACGTTTTGGGGTCGGTTGCAACATCTGCTTGGGTCAGTCATGGCATACGACGTGATTGCCAATCTGAGGAATGAACGATGCAGCATCCGTTCCATAATTGGAACGGAGGTCCTTGAGCAGCTGTCGGAGCTTGCTGGACTTGTTGAGGAGGGATTCCAGGAAGCGGTCGGCGCTGGCTTTTTGCTGGCAGGGCAACAGGGATGAAACCAAGCATCACGCACTTGCAATCGCAGGACAGATCAAACACGAACGCACTAAGGTAGAAAGTCACATCCACACACCACCGCCAGCACCAGCAGCGCCACAAACACCACCACCAGCACTGCAGCGGAAGCAGCAGCAGCAGCAGCGACAATGACAACCACAACAACAACAACAACAAAAGCAGCAGCAACAACAACAGCAACAGCAACGGCAACAGCAACAACCACAACCACAACCCAACCAGGACCGCAAGCACAGGGACAAAGAGAAGGATAATGACAGCCACAAGAACCGCCACCACCGCCACAACTGCAACTGCAACAGCAACAACACCGAAAACACAACAACAGGAACAATACCGAAATACACACACCTGAGTGCTCTCTCTCGCTCTCTCTCTCTCTCTCTTTCTGGATCTCTCTCTCTCTCTCTCTCTCTCTCTCTCTCTCTCTCTCTCTCTCTCTCTCTCTCTCTCTCTCTCTCTCTCCCTCTCCCTCTCTCCTATTACCACCCTTAGCCAGCCACCTCCAGACAGCCCCACATGTATCTGTGTATGTATAGACATGATAGTTTAGTTAATGTTTCATAGAATTACACATAAATAGGCATATCTATACATACTGTTTCTGTTTTGTCTGTGGTTAGAGACTCACGAACATGCACAAATGTAGAAGCCACATGCATACATATTACATATATGCAGCAGACACACTTCGTCTATCCTTGGTGAAGCTCTCGCCCTCCCTCTGTGCTCCCCTTTGCTTCTTTCGCTCCCTCCTGCTATTAAATATTTTACAGCACGTTACACCCACACACAGGCACGTATACATGTATACTACATGTCTCCGTATATGTGTATATATATATATATAGACACTATTACATAAAGTTATCTACTTGAAAACCTTTAAAGACCCCAATTAAATGATCCACACTCGGCATCACGACTCGCGCGGGCCTCGTGAACAGATTGGCCGGCGGAAGCTTCGGCACGGCTCGAGTTGCCGGATCGTGCCTGGGCTTTGTCCAGCAGGGCGAAGTCGTCCTTCTTCACGTCGACTGGGTCGGTTGCCTGTTTACAGATTTACAGATGGCTTGTCCGGGTTATATGAGCCTTGGGATGTTCGAACGATTCGAGGGTAGGCCTTCTGAATCGTCTTCTCGGTGTGCTCGTTCTCTTGCGCATGAACATGCTTGGCTGTCTCTCTGACTGTCACGTAATATTCCTTGACGCCGTCATATTGGTTGCACCTGCCCACATAGATGAGCTAGATCCGGTCCTACTCTATACTGCTGCGCAACAAACATCGCCAAAGCAGTGCAGACGAGGTCCTGGTCAGCGCCGGGTTCGCGTCGCAGATCTTCTTGGCACCACTGATTCTTGTCCTGCGGAGGAAAGCGGGGATGAGTTCCACTGGTTTTATTTAACTGCACAGGGTAGACGGGCTTTGATTTCGGGGGTTGTGGGCTATGGGGCATGCTGATTGCTTCTGTTCGGGAATGGACAGGGAGGGCAGTGAAAACAGCATTGCATAAGAGACTCCCGGAACGAACTGCCCCAGATAAGCCCCCGACTGGGACCACTTGAGCTCGCTCTTCATCTCTTGTTCGCTGTACCAGCCTTCGTCGATATGAAGAACGAACTTCTTGATCTTGCGAACGATGAGCTCAAGCTCGGTGATGAACTTCTCCTGTTCAGAGCACAGACTGACTAGATCACGGTTCTAGTCGCATGGCTCAGGCACTGATAGGTCTCCTTGTCGTTGTTGACTTGCAACAACAGCTCAGCCATCTCGTCTTTGGCGCTTGTGCCAGACTGCCATCTGTCGATCACAAACTTTGGCACATTCAGGTCTGTCCTTTTTTTTTTTGGTTTTGTCATCCTGGAGATCCTGGCTTTCGCCGCTTCCTGCAGGAGCTCCTGGTTGGGGCTTTCCCAAAACAAGCATATCGGGGCAATCAGAATGGTATCTACATTGCACAAACGATTCGTCAGGGCACACGTCTGGTCTTGGCCCGAGTGCGCTTGCGCTTGAGCGGCCGTTCGGGAGCTTCATCACCATCTTCAGGTACCACGGCTTCTGGTGCATCCGTTTGCTCGGGTTCATTCTCCAGCTCCTAGCCGAAACACGCAAGACTATTTTCACTGGACTATAAACATGTAGGATAGCCATGCTGCTTAGAAATCAGATGTCCTTCTCATCCTCCTTGGTGGCAACACCCATCTGGGAAAGCTCTTCTTCCTGGCAATACACGACACCCTAGTTTCCGTACTTCCCGGAACATATTTGTTCTACACATATTACCGTGCCAGCAGGACCGTCGCAGGGATGGTCTGTTGGTCATCCGTGGACCCGAAGACGGATCCAATACCACCAGCCTGTGGCAATGCATGTGTGCGTTGTACCGAGGAAATACATCGTCCGCTCCTGGCTCGCCACAGAAGGCGGGGCAGGGATCCCGGACTCTTCCGTGTCCACTTCCGACTCGAGCAACTCAGTGCACCGTGCAAGGGATATGTAGTCAAGGTTGAAACAGCTACAATGTCAAGCTGGGTCATGCCTACAATGTTCGTTCATGCGGTAGAAGAAACACTCATACTTTGTTGAAAGCTGGGTGCTCGAATCTGCTTCAGCACCTCCTGCTCCTCAGTAAGAAGCTGCTCGGCGGCAGCGTCTTGCATAATGTGATCATACCCTGCTGCCAGGGTCTGGCAACTCCATGCCTTCGACATAACTGCGCTGCAGCCGTGCTGGCTGCCTTCTGCTACAGTGTCTTGAGCACACTTGAGGACATCGGGTGTGCAGATAAGACACTTCACTATACTATGTGGTTTGTGTTTGCAACATCGGCTGGTTCCGTTCGGAGTTGTGGGTCTTTTCGGCTTTCGGCGACAATATCTAGTGACACAATCGACAAGCCGGGCCTGCACAAATTTCAGAAGGTGTCGAAGGAAACCGTACACGATGCCCCAAAGCCGCCGACTACGCAAACTTAGCGCTGCTATAAAAACCTACTTTTGCCCTATGCCTTTTTATGGGTTCCCGACGCTTAAAGATGGGTTCCCGACGCTTAAAGATGGGTTCTGGAAATGAGGGTTCTAGGTAATAACCAGGTTCTTCATATATAACATATGGGTTCCAACGGGTTTTTAATGGGTTTTCAGGGACTATTTATGGGTTTTCAACCTAAAAACCTATATTCTGGGTAATGAAAACTTACTTAAACCTAATAAAACCACTTAAGAAACCAAAATAACGCAAAGAAGCCTAAACAAAGCTTCTATGATCGTACTTATGTATGGCTACGTAGGAGCACATTTGCGGTTTCCTCCGTTCCTTCGGCTCTAGAAGCTCTCGGCCCCTAGTTGAAACGCCTCTTTCGGGAATTCCTTCCGGACCTAATAGGGAACTGGGGCCTCCATTCTGGAGGCAGCTCCAAGTGGGTTCCCCCTCGCAAATAATCATACACAGACTGAAGGTCTGCGGCGCGAAAGAGCTGCTGTACATGTCTTGGTGTCTCTGCTGCACTGAAGGCCTGGTGGCCAGACCCGGGAACGGTGTGGGGGATTGTCGGGCAACCCTTAGCAGAGCTCTTCAAGTCCTGGAAGATGCCTGCCACCGCATCAGCAAAGGGTAGCGGATAGATCCTGAGCACGATGACTATAGTTACCATATATAGCCCCTAACTTAAGCCAGCCTTTCCCTGTATAAGCTGCGCATATCATAACACCCCACTAGAAATTGGATAGTATCATCCCGAAGAATATATAATAAGTGTCCTCACCATAACGAAACCCATTCGAGCTATCAAGCTAAAACAACACAGCCAAATAAACCTAAAACTGTAATTAAGGATCACACACATACATTCGTACATACATACATAGAAACGTACACAGCCCAAGTCCGCGCACTTTAGCTAGAACCCCACCTCAAACCTTGGAAGCGCAGAAGCTTGAAAAAGGGAAACGGTTCAATCTGATCGCAGCATGTGTGAGAAGCACTACACATACATAGATAACAAATCCATGCGATGCATATATAATACTACACAAACACACATGAAGCGAGTAGATTGTGCCATTTCAGGAGACGAGGATGCTATTTCTAGTGCAGCGTCTCTGTAGACTTCAAGGCTTTCGTGCCGGTATAAGCAACAGTGCCATCCTTCCGAGCCCTTCTTGATACCGTCTTGAGATTCCCCTTTGCCTTGAGCTGCTTTCGGTTGGTTTTCTTGAGCACTCCCAAATCTAGCCGCCTGATGTGGTGCGAGTTGGAGAATGCGTACTGGCGCTTCGGACACGGGCCTCCGTAGAGCCCCATCCACCATCCGACTCTCGAGACCTGGTCGAAAAGGGTGGGAAGTTAATGTGGCCAACAAAGCGGCTAATCTAATATTCGTCTTATGTAGTTCGGGCCTTGATCGGAAAGTTGGCAAAGATTGGTTAAGCTAGCAGCAGGAGCAAGGGTTTCAAGGAGTGCCCCATTCCCCCAGTAAGCCCAGCTAGAGCTAGAGGGTATATATGTAGGATAATATTAAGTTACGGATGGTAGGGAACGGTTGCAGCGACCCTGGGCCCTACATGATATATAAATAAATAAATAAATATATATATATATATATATATATATATACACTTTTTTTACCATTATACACCTATACCTAAACCTATACGTACCGAGCTAGCAACCCCAACCGACTACTTACCTGCCTACCTACCTATCTGTGTATCCATGGCTCCCGACCTACCTACCTACTCACCTGTATTAACAAGACTTGGGTATGATTCCGGAGCACTGACTAAATCCCTCAAAGACCCCGACCGGACAAAGCAACTTCAGAACCTCCTACAAACCTTACAATCACACTAAGTTCCCCGCGGCCCCCACACCAGCTTGGCTGACCAGTGCGGACAAAACAAAGCGGAAGGAAGGGTAAAACTCCAGCACCGATCCTCCCGGCTGCTCCAAGACGAAACAGCCACCCAAGGCGACGGCTAAGAGTAGCAAGCACGAGCTCCTGAAGCGGTACATAGTATAGTAGCTTTATATCGTACCCCTACAAAGCTCTACAAACCCAACAAACATAGATAGCCCTTCCAAGAAGAACCCTGAACTCGAAACCCGTCCTTTCCAACATCTGATTGGCCTCTCGGACCGAAGGCTTCTCTGCATCTCCCCACGGGTCACAAGCAGATCGCATGGAGGTCCCTTTGTTGATGCTTGTCCAGGAGGAGCACTTAATACCCAGCCATATCGCGAAAGAGTGGGATTTGCATTTCAGCAAAGCCACTATGGCTAGCCTTAGCTAGAGTATCGCATTTGCATAAGTCAGAGCAGGGCCCTTGCACAACTAGACTACTCCCGAACACTCATATGACATCACTTAGGAGTTCAAGGGGTATCGGGTTCGGTTGCAGCCGGGTCTCACAAAGCCAGAGCAACTGTTGATATCCATAAAGTTGGATGAGTGAGGGCGGTCCGAGGATGGGGCATAATAGACTTTGTCGAAGCGGGCACCCGTATACCCTCTCAATCGCACCTTCGAAGTGCACCGAGATGACCCGGCAAAGTACTCGATCCATTCGAAGCACTGCATACAGATGGGGGCGCACACACTAACACCAGCCTAGATTGTTCATCGCATTTGCATAGGTCTGTGCCCATCCCGCCTCCGTGAGATCGTACAGGCCTGAGGTCCATATCGTAAGCAGCACCACGGCAACGAAGTCCTGAGTTGCGCAGACAGACAGAAGTCCGGGGTGCCAAGGTGGAGGGCTGCTGGTATAGCTTTGCACGTGTTACTGTCTGATCTTCGAATTCTACACGGCGGTTGCACATGCACCGGGCGGCTTTGGGAGCCCCCAAGGCTAGGAGCTTCAGCACCAGCTCATCTACCGGCACCATCTTTGCAGAAACACTCGGCCAGGGCCAAACAAAACAGAAGGCTGAGGGCCGACATGGTACCCATGCACACACGGATTGGACTTCGAACACATAGCACAACGGTGCAGGCAGGCATATAGGAACAGCAAACACGCCAGGTCGACTACATCGCTGATCTTTCTTGCTGCGCGCCCGGCGGGCGTGAGCCTTGAACTTGAGGCGGCCCATGACGCGACCTCAGCAGGATAGGAGTACTGTGCATATGTGGACACAGCCGCTGACGGTACACAGGAATGTGTTGGTTGTGCTGAGTGCACAACAGCCAACATGTGCAAAGTAGCTCTGATATGCTCCGATCGCCCACCACTCACTTTTTCAGCTGAGTCCTGCTTTTTTGCGGTAGCTGAGCAAGGCTGCCTTCGGATGCTTCCCCAATGTCAAGAAAGACACCGAACATGTTAACTCAAATACTTAAGTAGTTCTCTAGAGATACCAAATTCCTACTGCCGCTGTAGGACGTTGATGGCTCAAACCATGACATCGTGCATCTTACTTGCAGCCCTTGCAAGCAGCAGGCTAAGAACTTCCCCATGAGCTACAATGCCATCAGATTCAGCACAGCACTGAAATAATCAAACTCCAGCGCTCTAAGCCACCTAACTGAGCTATGCATCGACAGCTCCAAAACATTTTGCAACCCTTGCACGGATTGCGTTCAGAAGCCGGAAGCTCCCAACTCCTTCAAGGCCTTGAACCCTGCAGCCTTGAGCGACAACACCTTGGGTGCAATGTCGCGATGCCGAGGATCCACGATGTTCTTCTCCTCGATGAACCAAGCCTGGGCGAAGCATCGGAGAACGGAGGAGCAAGGACAAGGAGTCCGGGAGGGTTCATCGAGGCACACAGTAAGGGGTTTCTTTAGGGTTTGTATGGGGCTTGGGGTTTATATGGGGCTTGGGGTTCCGAGGTTTGTGTTGGTGTGTACATACACAATAGCAATATAGGGCTCTGTCTACACATAGATAAATAGGAAGCTAGATAGACAGATAGATGGACGGTTGGGCCGTGAAATTTCGTTGTGTAGATTACAGGCATTCTTGTTAACGACAAGTAGCCAGCAAGTAGCTGCAGGCAATGGCAATCAACAGCCCGGAGTTGTCGCGGCTAAAGTGGAAGTGGCCCAAGTTGCTTTTGCAAGCCTCTCCGCTTTCGTTCTCGTAGTGGAACGTGAGCGCACACTCGTTGCGGCTCCAATAGATGTCCGGCACCACATAGGTGAAGACTGGCTTCCATGCCTTGACCTCTTTCTTCAAGATGGCCATGTCGGCATTGGGGTTCTCGAAGTCGCTCCAAAACTCCAATATGTACTTAAGGTCAAGAGGGTCGTGGGGCGTGTCGTCGGCGGACTTGCTGTTGAGGCGGATGCTCGGGGCAACCCTGGGGGCGCGCTTCGTCTTCTTCTCCTCAACAACCTCCTTCGGCTTATTCTTGGATCCCTTCGGTCGACCGCCCTTTGAATTCTTGGTGTGCGCCACATCGTCATCACCCTCGGCCGGCTTCGAGGACAAAGACTTGGCTGCGGCTTTCACTTTGGCTCTCGGTGCGGACTTGGCTTTCGGAGATGACTTGGCTTTCGCTTTCGCTCTCGGTCCGGATTTGGCTTTCGGCGAGGCTTTGGCCTTCGGCTTGCGCTTGGCCTTGCCAGCGTCGTGGGCGTCCTGCTCCCACTCGCCCTCTTCCTTCTCCTCGGCCTCGTTCTCCTGCTCGTCGAGGTCGTGGCCGCTTGCCGAGAAGCTGCGGGACTTGCGCATCTTCTTGAGACGAGCAAGGCGGCTCTTGGAGGCCTTGCGTTTAAGCTTCTTGCCTCCCCGCGTCCCAGAAAACCCATCCGGATCGGCAGCCTCCTTGTCGGCGCTCTTCTTGTCCTTGTTCTGGGCCTTGATCCTCGATCTGAGTCCAAGCTGCTGTCGTCTGCCGAACACCTGTTCGGTGTAGATGATGGGGAACTATCTAAAGACCACAGGAATTAAAATGAATGTAGCGGGATTTTCGGGGATGTTGACATTTGCAGATATTTGTCTATGTATCATACGAGCATGACCAATAATGATCTTTATAACACAGTAGGATGGAAAACAGAACCAACGGTATGGGCGAGAGCAGCCTCCGAGGGAGCAGCCTCTTCGCACTTGTCTGCGTCCTCCTGCATCGGCTCTGCTTGCTGCTCTTCCTCGTGGTCGTGTGTCGGCAGCGCACTCTCGGGCTCTTCTTGTTCAGGGGGCGGTTCTTGAAGAAGTGCTCGGGGCTTAGCTGGACTCGGTTTCGGCTCGCCCGGATGCTGATACATCCAGCGTTTTGTGTCCACGGATGCAGTGCTCAGCGTTCTCGAGGGTTTGTTGAAGTCTGGGGTCAAGGGAGTCAGAGGCACGCGCATGATGTCGTACAACTGTGTGTCTGCATCATCCGGCTGCAGGAGGCTTGGCTTCGGTGGTGGCGTCTCCAACTCCTCCTGGCTTGCGGCGCGGGCATCCTGATGGCCTCCGAACAGAGGCTTGGCTTTTGAGGCATTATAATGTCGAATTAACATATGATTCAACTCACTTCGGTGATGGAGTAATTTATGAATATATAACTCCGAATGCAAAGGGAACACTGCCTGCAGGGGCTCTGGAGTCTGCCAGCCGTTCCATCTTCGCACGCTTCTCGCGAATCCTCACAACAATCGAGAGAGAGAGAGAGAGAGAGAGAGAGAGAGAGAGAGAGAGAGAGAGAGAGAGAGAGAGAGAGAGAGAGAGAGAGAGAGAGAGAGAGAGAGAGAGAGAGAGAGAGAGAGAGAGAGCGAGCGAGCGAGCGAGCGAGCGAGCGAGCGAGCAAGGGAGGGAGGCAGGCAGGGAGGGAGGGAGAGGGGGAGAGGAAGAGGGGGAAGAGGGGGAGAGGGGGAGCGGGAGAGAGTGAAGAGAGTAGTTCATGCCGTAAACTGAATTACAAAAGATAGAATGAGACAGAAAGCGAAAGAGAGAGAGAGAGGCAGACAGGTGAGACAGATGATTTTGGCTCTTTAGCACACACACACCAACACAGACAAAGACATGAATACCACGTAATGAGCTGTGCAATCGAAAATCCTTGCCAGCTCATCCTGCAGCATCTTCAGCTGCAGCTTTCTTGGGCCGCCTTGATCGATTAAGCATGCAGTCGTGACAACGTCTACCGATTGGGTTCAGATACTATCTCACTTCCTAGACCAACACAATGAGAAAAGTTGCTATAGATTTGGATCGACAGGTTACTCGAGTGCGAGGAAGACTCAGACTGGGTGGGTGATGGCAGCTCGCAGAGAGAACCAGATGAGGTGACACGAGCTGGTGGGCACACAGCAACTTCGGGAACACTAGTCCTGGGCCTGGGAGCTGCTTCCGGAACACGTGTTGGCTGAGACGGGGGAGCTGCTTCCGGAACACGAGTTGGCTGAGACGGGGGAGCTGCTTCCGGAACACGAGTTGGCTGAGACGGGGGAGCTGCTTCCGGAACACGAGTTGGCTGAGACGGGGGAGCTGCTTTCGGAACACGTGTTGCCTCAGACGGGGGAGCTGCTTCCGGAACACGTGTTGGCTCAGACGGGGGAGCTGCTTTCGGAACACGTGTTGGCTGAGACGGGGGAGCTGCTTCAGGAACACGTGTTGGCTCAGACGGGGGAGCTGCTTCCGGAACACGTCTGGGCTCGGGCAAGGCAGCCTCCGCAACAGGACTTGGCTCGGCGGGAGCTGCCAGACATTCGGGCTCGGGTATGGGAGCTTCAGCAACAGCTGGCTCTGGCAGGTCTGCTGCAAGCACCAGTTCCGGCGGCTGGCTGTCGTCAAGAATGGCCTGCAGCATATGTTGGGCTGAATGCGAAACATATGTCGATCCACAAACATTGGAAAGCCCTCAAAGCCCTCGTCAGTCTGTATCATCGGGAAAAGTAGAAAGATAAACGATAACTACGAGAAAGAAGAGTTAATACAAACGATACATATATGTGTGGATACATATGTTTATAAATGGGCGTATATATATGTATATATATATACACACACACACGCACTAGACTTCATCAAACCCTATATACATGTATGTGTGTATACATATATATATATACATATATTATATACAAGGGTAGGCATAGATAGAGAGGGAGAGGGAGGGATGGCAAGGTCACTACAGTTCTTGTTACGTGTAGCGCCTCAATCTGAGGGTCTGCCTCAGGGTCAAGGGGAGGAGCTGCACGTGCTCGGATTCCTTGCACCAAATCCTGCAAGAAAGTTGAACGATACGAGGTTTGGGCTCGATACATATTGAGGCAAAGGCGATTGTGAATGTGCACGAAAGTGTGCAGGATGCTAGCAGTCCTCAAGCTGAGGGTTCAAAATGAGGCACATATCTTGGAAATCTGGCTCCTGTAGGGATCAAACATTGAAAAAAGCTACGATTGAAGGTGTTTGGGGTCTGTCGATACAACTTTACTATATACAGGTTAATTGATACCCAGCGGCTAGAGAAACCAGATGTTTCTGGGTCTTGCGCTTCACATGACCCACGAGGTGCCGAAGAGCCCAAGCTTCATCGTCGACTTCGCTCTCCGGAGGTTCTTTGCCGAACAATTGGTAAACCTTTTGCAGAACGATTCGTAGGGGATCGATATCTGGGATCTTGAGGTTGCACGAAGTCATTCGAACCAGCATTGGGGTAAGGAGCTCAAGGTTCTGGATAGCCAGGCGGTTGCTTGAATCGTAACTACCATCCTCGTTCGAAATCACGAGTCGGCCACCTTCCTCACGCAATCTCCCACGAACGTTCTCCAAGGTCTCCCATTCGGAATCTAGGCCTTCCACCGAAAAGCGCTCAGCCATGCTCGCGAAAGCTAAGCAAAATCTACAGCCCCAGCAAAGCCCACACAGCTGAAGGATATACGACGCAAAGTCAATCGCAAACAATTGAGTTTCGGCAGGTGCCTTGGGCTCCGGCGTCGCCATCCCTTCGATCAGGATCAGGGCGCGACGAAAAAAGAGAGCCACGCTCTGCGACAGATCGGTCTCGAATCAGCAGAAACCTTTCCGAATCCTTTAAATTTATCTTCCGAAACCCCAGACAATGTCTCCGAAGCCCCTTAAAGCTTTCCGAATCCTCAAGTTTACCTACCGAAACCACACACAAGTAGAGATGAACCTGAATATGCGAACATAAATATAGGTTCTCAAGAAGAACCAGGTTCTTAATAAAGGAACGCGGTTCTCTGATAACTTCCTCTGAAAACCAGGTTTAGTTCTAGCGCCCTACTTTATATTGGATTCCGGCTGCTGTAGGTAGGGGTTAGGGCTTTAGGGGTTTAGGGTTTAGGGTGTAGGGGTTTAGGGTTTAGGGTTTAGGGTTTAGGGGAGTTTGAGTGTATTTATTTGATAGTATTTGATAATACCTTAGAAGCTGCCCCCACCCTGTAATAGTGACTATAAGGATTATATAGGGTTATATTAGGGCCCTAGTATATTCCTATTATATCACTATTACAGGGTGGGGGCAGCTTCTAAGGTTTACCCATAGGCCCCCATAGTAGTTCCTTTTTGGGGCTCATATGTAGAATCCTATACGGTAGCCCCAACAGGGACTGCCATGGGGCCTGGGTAGGGTTAAGCGTCGGGGCTTAGGGCTTAGATTCGGGGTTTAGAGTTTAGGGTTTAGGATTCAAGGTTCGGGGTTTCCGGGTTTATGCCTGCGGTCTCTCAAACAGTCTCGAAGCAAACGCTTGGAGACTAGACCACAGGATCATTACGATCTGATTGTTTAATTACGCTTCAATTTTCGTGGTGTAGGGTGTAGTGCACTATGCTGTTAAAGGAGGGTTTAGGGTGAGGTTTAATTTGGGTAAAACCTGGCGAGCAGAAATGCAGTGGATTCGTCGGAAAATGGCAGGAAATCTGCCCCGGAACACAACAAGCCTTGCATTGGGCATAACGAGATCAGCGGAAACTACCATGGCATGCGTGCGACACTCGACGAAGCAGGGGACATACCTACGTGTCCTTCTAAGTTTTGGCTTCTGAATTTAGTGGGTTATATAGGGTTGCAGGGTTTTGGGTTTTGGGCAGGTTGGTGGATCGGTCTAATGGAGACAGGTGGCAGGCCACCAACATCTTCGATCATAGCAGATGAGGCAGACAGGGTCAGAACGACGACCAGGAGCACCTGCATGTTCAAGGCTGTTGATTTAGGACTTGAGGATTTTGGGCAAGTTTCTACGAGGGCTCCTTTTGAGGCTTAAGGCTTGAGACTATAAGATTGATGACAAGCCCACCATGTCAAGCATCGCGTGGACGCCGACGCAGGCCAACTGACCTTGGCAGAAGCACAGGGTGACGGGTCTTCGATCAGCTTGAGGATTCAGAATGTAAAGTTTAGGGTTTAGGGTTTAGGGTTTAGGGTTTAGGGTAAACACCTTAAACCCTTAACGCTAAACTCTTAAACCCTGAACTCCCACAACTTATGAATCCTGCACCCGCAAGTCGCCAAACCTAAACCCCTCACCGCTTAACGCCTCATAAGGCCTCAGCAGTTCTTCGAGTCTGAATTCGGGGTGCCGGGTCCGAAAGTATTTCAAGAAATGCAAAGATTTACGGGATCTGAACTTTACTACTAACGGGGTTTAGAGTTTAGGGTTGAGGGTTTAGAGATCCGAGCATTAGGACTAAGGGCTCAGGATTTGGGCTTTGGCGTTGGAGTTTGGGGTGGTGGGTTTCCGGCTGTAGGAGCTGATAGGGCTTCTGGAGAAACGATTGTAGGCTGGCATCATGTTGGCTCGTGTGAGTCACAGACCCATCCCGATAAGGACTAGCAGTATGTCTGGTAGCCACCAGAGTCACGATCTTTTAAACAAAGTTACTAGTTACTATGAATAGCACGGATCGCATCCAAACATGCGAGAAATTAAGCCCTAAACCCGACATGAAAAACCGAATGACTACGTACCGAACTCCCCAGAAAGGCGATTGCTTTGGATTGGCAAGAACACAATCCCAAAAGCTTGAGCTGCGGGTAGCTAGCTTCCCACAGATTCAGTAAGTTGGTTCTAAGTTGCGTATAACTCTACTTTTCACCTACTTACTAAGCCCCCTGGGCCCGAAACTTCGCCTGAATTGTCTTGCTGATACTTGGCCCTCACCTTCAGGGCTTAGGGCATAGGGAATTGCGTAAACCCTTCGCCTCGAACCAGGGTCCTCAAGCTCCACAGCCTCAACATCCCAAACCCCAAACAGACCCTAACCCCTGAACGCATACATCCTAAACCCCTGAACCCTAAACCCTAAATCCTAAACCCTAAACCCTACCCCTAAACCCCAAACAGACCCTAACCCCTGAACGCAAACATCCTAAACCCCTGAACCCTAAACCCTAAATCCTAAACCCTAAACCCTACCCCTAAACCCCAAACAGACCCTAACCCCTGAACGCATACATCCTAAACCCCTGAACCCTAAACCCTAAATCCTAAACCCTAAACCCTACCCCTAAACCCCAAACAGACCCTAACCCCTGAACGCATACATCCTAAACCCCTGAACCCTAAACCCTAAATCCTAAACCCCAAACCCTAAACCCTACCCCTAAACCCCAAACAGACCCTAACCCCTGAACGCATACATCCTAAACCCCTGAACCCTAAACCCTAAATCCTAAACCCTAAACCCTAAACCCTAAACCCCACCCCTAAACCCCAAACAGACCCTAACCCCTGAACGTATACATCCTAAACCCCTGAACCCTAAACCCTAAATCCTAAACCCTAAATCCTAAACCCTACCCCTAAACCCCAAAGCCCTGAACCCTAGATCGCATACCATCCTAAGCCCCATAACGAAAAGCGGGCTGGACACCAGAGAGCTGCTAGGTACTTCGGTTGATGATATAAACCCTGCATTACCCATAATAAGGAATATTTGGGAATGATGGTATATGCCTTATTATGGGTGATGCAGGATTTATATCATCAACCGTTGCTGACATGTTTTGCCTGTGTCGCCCTGCCTACTTCCACTGCACGATGCCTGGGGTTTGGGTACTGCACCCATGCAGCAAAGTCCACAATCTACTTCCAAGGGCCGTATTTCTTCTTAATGATATGTCTGAATGATATTCAACTGTTACTGTGTGGGGGCACTATCCAATTTAGGGTTTAGAGCTTTCTGAACCTTTCGGGCCAAACCCTAATCCTCTAAACCCTAAACCCTAAAACTAAACCCGAAACCGTTTAGGGTTTAGCGTTCAGGGCTTACGTGTTTAGGGTTTAGGGTTCTATGTCATCATGCTTGGAGAGAGCTGCGGTTCAATTCCAAGTCGCTCAACTTCTGGAGATTCCGCTCTTTACGCACGTGCCTGAGACGAGGGACCGAGTAGCCCAGACACTCAGGCCTTCCTGGAGCCGAACTCCGTAAACCCTAATTAAGGGATCCTTTAGGTACTGCCCTCTTACAGTAAGAGTCTATAATAGGGCTACTATTGAGGTCCTAATATTTCTATATTATGAACCTCATTCAACTATTCCTGCGTGGGGGCCGTACCCAAGGGATCCGTTTTTGGTAATTTCATAAGGAGCCCTAAGCCTCATAAAAAAAAACACTCAACCCTACACCTAGACCCTGAATGCTAAAGTGTAAACCCTATAAACCTGTATACTAGACCCCTAAACCCGACAAAATTCCCGAAGAGCCGAAACCTCCGAAGCCTCGGAAAACCCTAGAAAGCAATGAAAACAAGGAGCCCTCGTCAGGGCTTAGGGTTTAGGGTTTAGGGGGTAAAAACACAAAATGACGATGGCCTTGTGCAATACCAGGGCCTGCATTCTTCGGCTAGGGTTTCATGGTAGGTGATAGTATTAAAGAAGCCTGAGAAACTATATTCTTAGTTATCTGAGGCCCAAGCGCCAAAACCCGAAACCTTGAACCCTCAGGAAAGTTGGCGACTATTGCGGCCCCTGTATGCAGCCGACTCCGACGCATTTTCTGCGGGCTCGGGAGCAGGGTTTAGTCTTGTTTCTGTTTTCCGAAAATTAGGGGTAACGTATTTTGGGGTCCTTATAATAAGGATCCTACTATTTCGGGTACTATATTAGGGTCCCCTATTGCCTCTCTTCCAGCTCGCGGGTATGTTTGCTGACCAAAGATCCCCACGGAGAAGGCCACTATAGCCAGGCATCGACTGTAAACATCGCTTCACTCCCCGACTCAGAAGACGACCAGGCAACATTTCTTCACCTTCCTCCGAAACACCCTCGGTTTCATTGCTATCCAGCACGACAACTCAGGACTTAAGGCTTAAGGTGCTCCCTAAACGGTTCCACAAGGACTCTATGCTCATTCGAAACTGAGGTTTGGGACGTAGGGCTTACCAGCTTTTGCCGAGAAGCAGGATCATGGGCGTTACCGCATTCAAGAGCAGCACGAAAGCCTGCAAGGTGCCCCACCTTAGCGTTGGAATTTCTAACGGCCACGAGGCAAGGGCGCAGAATAATTAGCAACACTATTTGGGGATTCCCTCTTACAGCTATACTTTTATACTGGGGTCCTTGTTTTGGCTTTAGGGTCTGGGGATCTCTATTTGCATGTCACACCAAATCTAGTCGGGAGTTTCCGAAAAAGGGAACCGTGATCTAGTACCCTTAATAGTAGGATCCTTATTATAAGGACCCCACAATAAGGTACCCCTAATTTTCGGAAACTACCAGTCATCAGTTGGGTCACTGCCTAGCTTCTGAAGAAACTTTTAGGGTCAGGGTTTCAGCGAAGCACGACTAGCGGTGATCCTTCGCGAAGGCCACAATAACATACCTAGACACGTACTTATATGGGTGGTTGTCAAAATTAATTATGGTCCCTTTTTGGTTACCCTAAACAATAGGTGCCGTATTATATTAAGGACCCAAAAAGGGACCATGATTTTGACGACCACCCATGTGTGTTTCTTATTGTAGGATCCGAAAAATAACAATTGTACCAAATGTGAGGTGTCTGGGTAGACCAACAACTTCGAAAACCCAAGGTCTTAAGCTACTTGGGTAGGTCTCTTTTTGGGTCCCTATTATAGTACGGCACCTAATATTCAGGGTGCCCAAAACGGGGCCATAATTTTGACAACCCCCCACTTTTATAGTATCCTTAAGGGAGGGGGGTCCAAGGGGGGTATATAGCCTAGTGATCCCTAATTCTCGCAAGTACTCCCTAAGGTTCCCTTACAGTCCCCTAAGGATTCCTTATACCCTCCCCCCTTGAACCACCCTCCCTTAAGGATCCTATAACACTTGGCTACTCAGAACAGCGTGACGTTCTTCAGAGGGTTTGGAGTTTCGGCCTTGCGTGGAGGCCCTGGGGACTTAGCAAGTAAGGTTCCTTAAAGGGTTCCTTAAACGGCTCTTTAAAAGGGATCTATAAGAGTTCTATAAGGGAGGTTTTGGGGTCACTTAGAGGCTTAGGGGACTTAGTAAGTAAGTTAGAAGTACGGTTATAAGTAGCATAAATAGAGTTACCCCAATTATAGCCCGACTTATAACCTACTTCCTAAGTCCCCTGGGCCTCCAAGTGGGCTACTGTACCTGTTGCAATCTACCAACAGCCCGGCCCGACACTGCCGAAACTGCGGAGTCCACATCGAAACCCTCGTCCCAACTCTACTGTGGGGACCTGGCTAAGAAACCATGGGCCTTTATTAGGGTGCCTTATATGAATCCCAATATATTGGGGTTATAGGGCCAAGGTTTCTGAATCAGGTCCCCAAATTACACCCTAAACTCGCAACTTAAACCATGAACCCCTATACCCCTGCTAAACCCCAAAGCCGCAAGGAAAAAGCCCAGCGGCTGCCAATGCGGCCGCTCCTGGTCGAAGTGCGCTCGGGGGGAAAGAGGGGGGGAGGAGGATTTGGGATTGTGTTTTTGTTTTAATACCTTTCTGCGCTGCCGGAGCCGCGAAAGGTCTTACCGACCCGGTGACTTTGTAGGATTTGGGATTTCGGGTTTAGGGTTCTTGCGAGATGCCTGGCCTTGGGGTTTGGGATCTGGGGTTAAGGCGGGGTTTTGGGTGTTGTGCCTGGGGTCTGGGGTGCTGGCACATGTGAGTGGTTGTCAAAATTAGGGTCCCTTTTTGGGTCCCTATTATAATACGGCACCTCATATTTACGGTACCCGAAAGGCGATCTTAATTTTGACAAGTACCCATTTGATTCTTAGTAAACCGAGGAGTCCGGGTTACTGACTGAGGATTGTTGTAATCCCCGAAACCCTGAACCGTAAGCCACGCACCCTATAGTTGCAGTATAATGGGCCCCAAAACTTTATTCTAATTATTAAGGCCCTATAATTATGTAGCTCTATTTTGAACCCTCATCCCACTGTCCCCTGGAGTAGTCATCATAAGCATCTGCCATCAAGCAAAACATGCAGCTAATCTCCGACTTGATGCTGAAGAGTGCACTGTCCCACCTGCGAGCACTAAAAATACTATAAGGGCCGTGCAAGGCTTCAAAGGGTTCGAGCATCGTACTGGGTATGCTGTGCTACACATCTATGTGGGGACGTGCAGACCGATCGATTAAAACTAGCAACCCGCAACGCTAAGCTCTCAAACCTAGAACCTGAAACCTCAACCTCAACCCACAGCCAAAACTTCATAAACCCTAAGCCCTAAACCCTGAACCCTAAGCCAAAACCCCACAAACCCTAAACCCCTACCTAAACGCTAAACCCTAACCCTACAAGCCAAAACCCCATAAACCCAAAGCCCTGCACCCTAGAACTTAAGCCCTCAGTGCTGGGATCGGCTCGGGTTGAGCGCTTGGAGCTCTAAAAGGAACGGTTGTACAGTAGGAAACCTCATCCCTAAGTGAGGCTTAGGTTTTTTTTGAACTCCTTTTTACACCTGCCCGATTCTCCCAAGCTGACAAAGGCTTAGGGTTTGGGATTTAGGGTCCAGGGTTACGAGCTTGGGACTTAGGGCTTAGGGCTTGCGCTTTGCAAACCATGCTGGAAACACCCCGTGCCTGGCGGACGCTTCGAACGGGACGATTCACATTGGGAGTGTTCACCGTGTCCTCAAGAAGCATCCATTGGCAGGACGGTCCGTCCCTAATTTAGATGCGAAGTCCCGCAACTTTGATGAGACAACAGATTATGCTGTGTCCGCTTTGAACATGTAGTGCAACTCTGAAGATGTCCATCGCAATCCTAAACCCCGCATCCTCAAAAGCTAAGCTACACAAAAAACACACACACACACACACACACACACACACTAACAAGCCGAAACACCAAGAAGGGTATAAATCCTGCATTACCTTAAGGACCCTAAACTATGGGAATTATGGTATATTCCTATTATGGTTAATGCAGGATTTATACCATCAACCGTAGTGACGCTGAAGAAGACCCAGCCGACCTCGCGCATCTGATCGAAGACCTGGCTGACCACATCCTCGGTGGGTCTTCGGGGACTAGACCTAAGAGTAACCTAGGAATAAGAAGGGTGCCCTTTTTGGTTTAAAGGGGTTTCTAAGGGAACCTAAACCCTAAAAAAGGGAATAAGGGCCTACTATGGGTCCTGGGGGATAGGATTTCCGATTTACTCTACCCTACCAATACCTACCTTGTTGCAGCCTATTGAACCTCCTAAACAGTAGGTTACAGTAGTCAGGCCCCCTGTTCGGGCTCAGGCAACTAAACAAAAAACCTGCACGCAAACCCTAAACCCTAGACCTAAACCCTTACTAGCACCTTACAATCCCAAGGCCCTCGAAAGTAATTCCCAGAAGCTGGAAAGGGCATCATCTTCAAAGCCAGCCAGATTTTGCGGGCCTTCATCGTCCCACCAACCTGTCCATTTATTTACGGGAGGCTTGGGCCTTGCGAGAATCGGGGTTTGTGTTTCGGGCTTTGGGTTTGGGACTTTCGCGTTCACCCACCAGTGGGTTTAGACAAGCAAACAACCCCACATCCCTATGGAATCCTAAACCCTAAACCCTAAACGCAAACAAGACCCCTGGTTTTCCCCCAAAGCTTTGGTAGCACAATAACTTCTAAGCGGGGTATAAAATACTCCGCTAGCCAGACCGTGCACTCTGCTACTCCGCACAAAGTCTTACTATAGGAACAATCATGTGGGTCGAGGATGTTGTCCTCCCGATGTCGGGATTTGGATTGAGGGATTTCGGAACCGTCTTGGGTGTACAGACTTATATGGGTGGTTGTCAAAATTATGGTTCCTTTTTGGGCCAAAAGGGACCCTAATTTTGACAATCACCCATATCAAAGGCCCTTGGGTTGATGGACTGAAGGTTTGGGCCCTAAACCCTGAACCCAACCTTTCAGCTACGGAACTGCGGAAGAGAGGATGCTCAAGGCAAACTCATGACGATTCCGTTTAGGGTTTAGGCTTTAGGGTGTAGGGTTTAGGGTTTCGGGTTTAGGGTGCAGGGTTGTGTGTTCAGTGGACAGTATCGCGATCAAGTTCAAATCCTCAAGCACAAACCTTGAACCCTACACGGTTAAACATTCTACCTGCAGAAACAAACTTTCGTCCGACACTTTCAACCCCAGAGCCCATCAACTCTGAACGGAACGCGGTTTTAGGATGCAGGGCCAAGGCTTTTAGATTTTATGGTTTGGGGCGTTTTGGCTTAAGGTTTAGGCTTTTTGGTTTAGGGTTTAGGGTCTTTAGTTCGGGGTTTTGGTTTCAGGGACTTCGAGCTTGAAGGTTTCTTGAAGCGTCCAGATTTAGGAGCTTCGAGTCTACGGTTTAACGCCTAGGGCCTTTTAGTTTAGGTTTTAGGGTTCCAGAGTTTCAGGTTGAGGGTTTAAGAGTTTAGGGTTTAGAATTTGGGTGCTTGTCAAAATGATGGCCCTTTTTGTGGTCATTATTATACTACGGCACCTAATATTCAAGGTACCCAGAAAAGGACCCATATTTTGACAACTACCCATTGATGGTCGAGGGCAGTGCAGAGAGATCCATGAATTCGGCTGACAGTGTTTTGGGTCCCTGAGGTTTCCGGATTAGTTGGGGGCTCTTGGGTTTTTGTTATAGGATCCTTAAGTGAGGGTGGTTCAAGGGGGGAGGGTATAAGGATTCCTTAGGGGACTGTAAGGGAACCTTAGGGAGTACTAGGGAGAATTAGGGATCACTAGAATATCTACCCCCCTTGGACCCCCCTCCCTTAAGGATACTACAATTTTGGGCTTGTAAGGGTTGTGGGTTTAGCGTTTGGGGTCTTTCGGTGTTCTTCAGGCCCACCTTGTATGTCAAGTCTATAGCGATGTCGTGGATCGCCTTATTTCGACCTGAAGTGTGCCGGAACGGCTGAAGGCACTCCTGCTTGGGCAACCTATCTCAGGATTTAAGTGGACAAGAATTCCGGGTTTAGGGCTGCAAGGTTTGAGGCTTAAGATTTAGGGGGTTAGGGCTCAAGGTGGATTCAGGGTTTAGGGCTGTAGGCACTGTAGGGTTTAATGGGATCGGGCCGGGTTTAGGGTTGGGCATAGGCTTATGTAACGCTTAATTAGGGCTCCAAACCACATCACACGTCCTAAGATGCAGATTATCACCCAGCCAAGAAGTTCTAGTGAAGTTCGGACTCTTTCACTAAAATCCATTGCAGCACCGCGAGTATCGCACAGGAAGAGTGCTAACAAGAGCAAGGTACACGCAGCAATAGTGGGTCTTCACAGGAAGCGGAGCCGAGACGGTAGCTCGTGTGTTTAATGACACACATTCAAGACAACAGGTTTGATCATACAGTCAACATTAAACCAGAAGTGAATACATGTAGCCGCACTCGCTAGCTCTAGGCGTCTGGAAAACCTTGAAAGCAGACATCGAAGCCGAAACCCCGCAAACCTTAAACCCGACACCCCTTGCGTTGATCCCGTCTAGAACCCTTTAGGTACATAGCACTTACGGCAACCCCAAACCCTAAACCGTGAACCCTGAAGCCAAAACCCTAAACCGCTAGCAGTTGACCCTGCGACTGCCCAAAACACCCTTGTCCTTTTAGAAATAATAGACAGAGCCGTATACCTATATCCCTTAGTAGGAATCGTTTAAGAAGGTCTACTAGCCGGTCTGTTTATTCTTTTGGGGGAACCATGAGAAAGGACAAGGCTGGCCCCGCACCCCGACCCCTCTCCCCACCTATCTTGTCTTGCGTCATCTCCAGAAACTGCAAGTTAGCCGTGAGCAGGTTCCCTGCAGGCTACAGCTTGAGGTCAGAGGTTTGAGGGTTTAGGGTTTAGGGTTTAGGGCTTAGAGTTTAGAGTTTAGGGTTCAGGGTTTAGGGTTGCGGTTTAGAGTTTAGAGTTTAGGGCTCAGGGCTTAGGGTCTAGGGCTCAGAGTTTAGGGTACAGCTTGGGGTCAGAGGCGTCAGAGGTTTGAGGGTTTAATGCAGGACCTAAATAAGCCGAATAAAGGTTTGGGGTAGCGCATGCTACGGTTATCTGAAAGAACGGCAAGGGATAGTATTGGTAATCGGTTTCGACCTGTACACAGAAACGAAAACCTAAACCCCTTTACAGGGAACTCCAGAAAGTTGGAATATGGTTTCAGGGTAGGATGCATTAAAATTTACCATAAAGGGTTTAGGATAATCATATTCCAACTTTCTGGCTTTTACTTTAATACCCTGACAGTAGCCCTGAGAGTTCCTTAACACAGAAAGCCCAATACGCGTCAATTGAGGAATATACCTCAAACCATAATAACATTGTATTGGGCTTCCTGTGAATAGTATGCCCCGAAGTACAATATGAGGGTTTAACGGAGTGGTGCTTCAAGCTAGCTCTCAAAACCCTGCACGAAATCGCAGAACCGCCTTGAATCCGGAAGTATCTTCAATGTGTAGGGTCTCGAGATCGAGTTTGGGGTTCAGGTTTTAGGATTAAAGGACTACGGCTTAAGGTTTCGGGCTAAGGGTTTTAGGGTTCAGGTTGAAGGGTAGTTGAAAGGGTTTAGGGAAGTGGTTTTAGGTTTCGGGTTCAAGATTTAGGTTATAGGTTTGAAGGTTTAGGAGCTCAGGGTTTCTATCCATCCAGGGCCCCCCAACATACCTTAACTCTGGGTCTTGAAGATCCTAAGCCTCGAACCTTCAACCCTAAATCCCACGGCCTTACCCCAAGGGTCCAGAGAACCCAACAATTGGTACTCGGTTTTAAGATAGTAGTTATGTAGGTTGGGATTTTGGAGAGTATATGATTATTATAGGTACTTGGACCCATGGGGTTATCCTTAAACGCGAAACACCCAAACCCCGAAACACTCAGCGCCAGGGCCCTAAACCCCTCAAACCTGAACCCTTAAACCCTGAGCCACTAAATCCCAGATCCGTTGAAGGCAAACCCAACGACTCAAACTTCAGGATCGCAAGGCTCCTGCACCAAGACCACCCAGGGTTCCGTCCTGCGGTAAGAGTCTCTGGTCTTCTAGGCTTTTGCTTCAGGGTCGAGTTTAGGGCTTTAGGGTTTAGGGCTTACGGGTCCAGGGGTTTACGGGTTTGAAGGGTCCAGCGACGACTACGGTTAGAGTTAGCCCTAAACCCCAAACCCTAAACCCCTAAGCCCCTAAACCCCCTAAACCCCTAAACCCTAAACTCTAAACTCTAAACCGCTAGTTAGGAGGATTTTGGACCCTAAACCCCAAACCCTAAACCCTAAACCCGAAGTTAGGAGGGTTTAGGATGCGCTCACCGGGTTAGGGCGCATGAGCTTCGGGTTCAAGGGCCTGGGGTTTGGGCGACTTTGAGGTTTTCAGGAGCTTAAGAGTTTACGGGTTTTAGGGGTTTAGGGGTTTTAGGGGTTTAGGGGTTTAGGGTCTTCAGATTTTTGGAAGGGTTTTTAGGGGTTTAGGGGTTTAGGGATTTGGGGGCTGAGGGGTTTAAGGGGTTTTAGGGTTTTTTTTGTTTTTAGGGGTTTAAGGGTTTTGGGTTTTGGGGTGTAGGAGTTTAGGGCTTTTTGTGGTTCTTAGGGGTTTAGGGGTTTGGGGGGTTTAGGGGTTTTGGGGGTGTTTAGGGGTTTTAAGGGTTTTAGGGGTTTAGGGGTTTAGGGATTGAACGGTTTAGAGGTTTAGTGGGTTTAGGGTTTTTGTTAAGGGGTTTTACGGGTTTTAGGGTTTAAGGGTTTATGGGTTGAGGGGTCTAGGCTTGTAAGCCCGTCCGGGGACAGCGTCTCAGGGACAGGGATAGAAGCCAAGACTTGGCCCTGGCCTTCTGGCAACCTCAGTCCAGGATTGTGTTACGAAATTTTGTGGCATGAGAAACTCCCATAAGCCCAATAGTATATAGGTCCTTTTGGGTGTTCATATGTAGAATCCTATATGGTGGTCCCAAAGAGAAACTACTCTTGGGTCTATGGGTTGAGTCTAGATATGGAATTGCTCTTTGACTGAGACGTTGCCTCAATTTGTTGGAGTTGCGCTTGGGCCTGCGTTTGGCAGAGCCAAAACCCTAGGCCATTAACCCGAACCCTAAACCCATAACCCTAAACCACTATAAACCACCAAACCCGAACCCCAAGCCCCAGCCCGTACCCCAAAACCCTAAAGTCCGAAATGCGGTTCTTCCTGAACACCTACAAGCCTCTCCTTACTCCTTAAACCCCTAAAGCCTAACCGCTAAACCCTTAATTCCTCAAGCCAAAACCCTCTTGGCTGTCGCCCCTCCTCCGGGCGCGCCACGGGATTCAGGAACCAAGTCTCTGAGAGATCTTGCAGGTAGAACTTGTTGGCCTGAGGGGGGGCTTTATGTGGGGTGTTGTAATTAGGAGCCTTATAGGGTTGTATGAGTTTCTATGGGGTCATACTACCACAGGACGAAAGTTCGCCACACGGCCTCGAATTCAACACAACAAACACTAAAATCCCCTTTCCCCCATAGACTCCTCCACAAGATCCCAGTGCCGAGAACATTATAGTAGTACAATATTTTATTCCGGGAAAGTGACTACTCCGCCGCGCTGGCCGCATAAAACGGGGGTGGTATGGCATGTTGATATGACCCTCCGTATGTCGAAACTTGTTCCCGGTGATGTATAAGCTTTTATAAGGGCCTGTAAGCGTGTAAAAGTGTTTCAGAGGGATCTGTAAAGCTTGAAAAGGTTGTAAAGCTTCAAGGTTTAGCATGTACCCAGCGAGCCCAGTACCCTTAATTAAGGAATATGGCTTAAATTCGAAAGGAAATCATATTATGATTTAAGCTAGATTCCTTAACTAGGGGGTATTGGGCTCTGTGGGTATGTTGGGCGTATATGAGGTTCGGAGCTCAGCACACTCAGATAGATTTTTACACAGTTCATGTCCAAATATAACCGAACTCCTAAGCTCGAACTTAGCTCTTTATGCCCTGATCTCTAAACCCTCGACCTTCAACCCTAAACTCCTAAACCCTAGAGCCTAAGGCCCTGACGTTTAATGAAGGGATCGTGACTCGCAAAATGGACGACTTGACGGTTTGAGGTTTGGGGGTATAGGGTTTGGGGGTTTAGGGTTTAGGGGCTTGGGGGTTAAGGGTTAAGGGTTTAGGGTTTAGGGCTCAGGGTTTAGGGGTTAGAGTTTAGGGGTTTGGGGGTATAGGGCTTAGGGTTTCGGAAATCCGAACACTTACGCAAATGACTCTCGACCTTACACGGGGGTGGGTCCTCGGAAGCTTGCCACACATGTCATGAACCTGATCCCCGGACGCCAAATCTAAACCGTGAACCCTAAACTGCCATACAACTCTAAAATATAAACAGCCCAGAATACTTATAGGAAACTCCAGAAAGTTGGAATATGGTTTCATGGTAGGATACCCTATGAATTACCATAGAAGGGTTAGGATAATCATATTCCAACTTTCTGGCTGTTACCTTAAAATACAAACCGTCCAGAATACTTCATGCTTCCTTCCTCAATTGGAACAATATCGTGGCCAGGCCATGTTTCTGCCTAAGTAGCACCGTCGTCGCTCTTCTTGCTCATGTTGCGAGGACGACAACTCTCGTCATAACCATGACTAACTAACACTGTCGGTTTCTACTATATACCGTTTCTGTTGTTGTCACTGCTCCTGCTTGATCAATGCTTCACCGGAACTGCTTCAACTAGATTACCATACCTATTGCCATAAACTAACATCGAGTCAATGTTTCAGGAGCCGGGCACATTGCACAGCCAGACCCTGAACCCTAAACCCTACCCTAAGCTACCAAAGTAGGTTCTGGCAGGTTAAGGAACCATAAACCCTAAACCCTCCCAAACCCTAAACCCTAAACGCTTAAGGTAAGCCCCTAAACCCCACGGCAGCCGAAGGCACCGCGTGCCACTGCGATTCGCCGCAGTGGGCGCTTTTCCACAGCAGCTCCTCCGTGTCTAAGAACTTCTTTCGAAAGCTCCTGGGGCGTGTACATATTCGGTTTAGGGTTTATAGGGTTTAAGGGTTTAGGGTTTAGGTTTAGGGTTTAGGGGTTCAAGGCGGTTGAGTTTAGGGTTTAGGGTTCAAGGGTTTAAGGGTTTAGGGTTCAGGTTCTAGGGTTTAAGGGTTTAGGGTCACAGGGTTTGTTTAGGATGTAGTACATAGGCTCCTGGGGGTACACAAGGTCTCCTACTTGTCGAGTATCCTGGGGAACTGAGCGTTTGGGAGTAAATTAGGTCTATATTCTGAAATTATAGTACCCAAAAAAAGCTTAGAGGTTACCTGCTCTACTACTAGGGTGGAAGTCCAGTTAAAGATGAAGGGTTCAGGGTTTCAGGCTTGAGGTTTGGGGTTTACCACACCCCCAAGTACCCTTTAAAGGGCTCTGATATTTCTCATTAAGAGGTAATTAGGGACGACAATAAAGGGTAGTTGGGGGGTCTAGGTAAGGTTGCAGGCTCTGGTTTACGGTTGAAGGCTTCGAGTACAATTGCAGGCTTTTGGGCTTGCAGTGTTTAGGAGCAGCGTAGAGATCTGAATCGTTCGCAATAGTATCCCCATATAGTACTTGCTTACTTACCTACTCTCTCTCTCTCTCTCTCTCTCTCGGTATGTGTATGTATATATATATATATACAGACATACTTATATTCATAATATATGTATGAACACACACCCACACACACCCAAATTGTGTTCGAATCATTCCCAAAGTACCGACTTTGTCTGAGAGGCACTGAGGGGACACATGACAGTTCCCTAGTAATTGAGGAAAGGTCTTTCTGGCTACTGGTTGAACTAAACCCCTGAACTCCTAAACCCTAAACCCCTTAACCCTCAACCCCTTAACCCTAAACCCTAAACTCCCCTAAACCCTGAACCTCTAAACCGTAAACCCTCAACCCCGAACCATCGCTCTGGAGGCTCGAATATGTGTGGGAAAACGGCACACCATAGTAGATCTACCTTGAGCTCCGAGTTATAAGGGCCCTTTTAAAGGTACTTTAGGGTTCTATCATATGGGCCCCTTTAAGGGTACTATACTTAGAGGCCCCAAGCGCGAATCGTGAACCCCCTTCTGCAGTATTTGTTGTTCCGGTTTCTTGTGGAAGTGAGACCAAATTCATCCGCAAGCGTGCTCTCTGCGCCAGGGGGCGGCTCGAAGACCCTCGTGAGGTTGTACCTTGCCGAATTAGAACGATGCCAACATCTGATGCTGATTAGCAGATGTAGTAAATCTGGAGCAGTGTTCGTCTTGTTTTTTGATGTTCTTTTCTGACTACACTACACCGTCCAGGTTAGCTTCGGTTCGTCTGCTGCATGAGTGCACACACTGTGTGCGTCGACACTGCACTAGACACGGGGACGGCTTGCAATGCGAACCATAACAAGGACAGTTTGGCCGAGTGGATTAAACCCCACGCCCTCAACCCTGTCCACGCCTAAAGAATTAGATCAGGTTTGCGTTTGTTCTAAATGTTTGGGATAGCAAACTGGGTGTAGTCATACGGCCGGTTCTTAAACCCTGAACCCTAAATCCTGGACCGTAAACCCTGAATAGTGCCCATTTGGTCTGAGACTCTTCACTCTTTCCACATCTAAGTCTAAAGCTTCGTCTACAGCCGGCATCATTCACCTGAAGGCCTGAGAGCCCTCCAACCCCCCCGAGCTCGCCACAATGCGGCGGGAATTGCTCAGAACATGAAGTTGCGCTTCAACCCTAAACCCTGAACCGTCTGGGAAACGAGAACTCGACCAAAAACCACAGATCTCAAGTTGCCATTATCAAGCCTGGGTCTGATGGGTTTAAGGTAATATATGGGTAGTTGTCAAAATTAAGGTCCCTTTTTGGGTCCCTATGATAGGTGCGGCACCTTATATATTTAGGGCACCCAAAAAGGGACCCTAATTTTGACAACCACCCAGATGGGCCTCAAGAGTCAAAATAGAGTTTATGCATACTTTCACTATACTACGGGCTATAGTGACTATAGTGGGATAGTGGTACTACATTTTCGCCCTCTCCAGATGAGGTTCACGAAGTAATAAGCCCTACACCCTAAACCCCATATGGTTTAGCTCAAGGCACGCATCTGTGGACTGGCGGATCTCAATCCAGCGGTAGACTCTCGACACATTCCTCGGTTTAAGGTTTGGGGTTCGGGCTGGAGAAATTCGGAGAAATTGCCTTTGCCCAAGCTCCTCATTCCAGAGAACCGAGTTTCATGCCAGACGAACACCATATAATATAACATGATATAGTACGACATAATTGTGCCATATGGAAATAACATAGTTCAATTCTTCACACAGTTTCCTTGGATGGAAGGGCTTTGTGGACGAAGCCCCTCGCCCAGCGACTCGAAAATTCCATGTACCATGCAGGCCGAGGCTCAGTTTCTGCGCGGTGGCGGCCTGAATGTGTTGAATCTGACTGTGAATCTGGCCACAAGACTGCATTAAGCTTCACTGTACGAAGACGACCGCGACGTCGACGACGACGGCGTCGTCGACGTCGATGCGACAACGAGCAATATGACTATCATCATCTGCACCATCATCACAATCATCTTCCTCATCCTCGTCTCCAGCAGCATCACGAGCAGCACCACGACCATCATCATCAGCAGCAGCACCATCAGCATCATCAGCAGCACCATCGGCATCATCATCAGCTGCAGCAGTATTGCATGTGGGCATGTGGTTGCATTGTGAACGCCGCCATCATCACCAGCAGAAGCAGAAGAGGAACCACAGTTATCACTAGTTGCCACGGCTCCCCGCTGATTTCAATATCTCCGATGTACTTCGGGAAAGAGACGACTGCTGAATTCCTACACTTCTAGCGTAAACCCCTTCCCTGACCCCTAAACTCCAAAGCCCAAACTTCTGCACACCTGGCACCGCAAACCCTGACCCTCACCCCTCTGTTGCGAAGATGGGAGTTAGGATTAGGTGGATATAGACGCTTCAAGAAGGTGCCGGTCAAGAAGGGTCCCCTTTATGGGGGTCTCCCTGATGGGAGAAGTAAAGGTTCGATCTGAAGCCCTGATGCCTTGATGGTAATATAGGGGCCTTCATCCTAGAACAAACCAGAGGGTCCAAGTACCCAAATAGTAGGGATTTAGGTGCCAAAATCCATACTCTGAATGGTTTTTGGACCTTGAAACCCTACTATTTGGGTACTTGGACCCTTAGGGAAAGGGTCATGACAACAGAGCACCTCACATGAACGATGCTGCAGGTGCTCGAGGGCACGAAGAAGCCAAAGCTGGCTGCCTTCATTGTAATACAAGAGCCTCAATGATACCTAGGGTTCCTTTAAAGGGGATCTACAGGGGTACCTTTATAGGGGTTCCTTTAAGGGATCTATAGGGCTTAGGGTTTAGGGCTGATGGACAAAATCCTGCATGACCCTAAGGACTCTAAACTATGGGAACTATGGTATATTCCCTATAAAGGGTAATGCAGGATTTTGTCCATCAGCAGTAGTATAGGGGTAGTGGCCTGAATAGATCTTTCTCTGAAAGTCTCGCAACGAGACTTGACATAAGAAGACATCATCGGCAGCATCTTCTCTGACCGTCTTGCCCAGGATTCCAGATGCCGACCAGTCTGGCCCCTCTAGGGCTTCAGGGTTCAGGGTTTAGGGATCCTAAAGGTTCAGAGCCTAGGATACCCAGTAAGCTAAGAATAAAAAGGCCTCTCTTTTTGGTATTGGGTAACTTTATAAGGAACCTAGGACTACAAAAAGGGAATAAGGGTACTACTGGGCATCCTAGGAGCTTGCGGTTTCAGGGACAAAGGTTACCTGCTCGAGTGCCCTTAACTTCACAACCGCCAAGGTCTCCTCAACGACATGAAAAAAGCAAGCCTTGAGTTGCCAAGCAACAAATGTTAAACCAGGATTAGGGCTTTTGGGTTTTATGGTTTATGAAGTTTGGGGATTTGGGGCTTGAAGTTTAGGGCTTTGGGGATTTGGGGTTTCGGGTTTAGAGTTTTGGGCTTTGGGGGTTTAGGGTTTAGGGTTTACTGAAGAAGCCCAAGCCAGAACCCAAACATGCTCTTTACACGCGAGAAAACGGGCCTGGAGGAATGGGCCCTGGTCGTCGTTAAAGAGCCCAGTGCCGAGAATGGACACGCAGGACAAGAACCTTTTCAGCTCGGGGTGGTGTTAGCAGCAGTAGCAGTAGCAGTAGCCGTAACCGTAGCAGCAGCAGTAGCCGTAGCCGTAGCAGTAACAGTAGCAGTAGCAGTAGCAGTAGCAGTAGCAGTAGCAGTAGCAGTAGCAGTAGCAATCGAAGTAGCAGCAGCAGTAACAGTAGCAGCAGCAATCGCAGCAGCAGCAGATGTAGTAGTATCAGAAACAGCAAAAAGGAGTAGAGGCTGCTGTTGTTGCTGTTTATCCTAGTGCCGTCGTCGATGTCGTCGTCCCTGTCCTTGCCCTTGTCCGTGTCCTCATCCACGTCCTCGTCCTTATGTTCGTGCTTGTGCTTGTGCGCGTGCTTGTAGTGCTGCAGCTGATATTGCTGCAGCCTCGGCCGGTGAGAGACTGATACAAGTGGAACCCAACCTCGGAGTTCAGGTTTTGGAGTTGGGTTTGGGTAGTCCAAGCTAAGCCCTAAGCGTAAAAGCCCCTCAAGCTCCGAAACGATACGAACACCCATAGTCGCAATTACTGAGGGGAAATTAACAACTCGTGGCCGCAGACCCTATAAGCCCTAAACCCTGAAACCCCGAAACCGCAAACCCTAAACCGCTTTCTTCCCTGGGTCAAGGGACCAAACTACCCCAGATTCAGCAAACACAGGGGGCTAAACAGACTCGGGTGTAGGGCTTCTTCTAGCCGATTGAAAATGTGGAACCCGAAAGAGTCAAGTTATTCCGGTACCTATCTTCCGTCGAGGGTAAGGCTACAGCCTTCCACCTCCAGGTCCCGAGCTCTCGTTTAGGGTTTCGGGTTTAGCGTTAAGGTCTTAACCTCAACACCAAACCTGAAACCGAAACCCTGATGCTTTGCTCAGGGTTCAGGGTTACTAAAACCAACCGGCGCGTCCTAAACCCCTAGACCCTAATCCCTAAACCCTAAATCCTAAACCCTAGACCCTAAACTTCCTAAACCCTCACCCTAAACCCCCTGACTCCTAAACCCTAATTTCAGCAAGCCCGCTGGCACGCCGGAATCTCAACGAGGTCCCGAAGCGCGAGAAAAAAGGTGATGCAGGCGAGGGGAACTGACCTCGCGACTTTGAAAAGGTGGACGCCACGGTAGGCACAGGGTCCCTGAGGGTTCTGTATAAGGGTATATAATGTACTACTATTTGCTTAAGAACCCCAAAAAAATAAAAAATGCATTCCTTATAGGGATAATATAGGGATTATCATTTTTTATTTTTTGGGGGTTCTTAAGCAAATAGTAGTGTAAGGGCCCTTGAATGGCCTTGATAACTATACTATGGATTTTGGGTGATGTTTCAGCATAGCCTGAAGAAAATTCTAGCCATTGCGGCAACTATAACCTAGACAATTATCAAACCCTGAAGCCATACAGGGTGAAATTCTAGTGCCAATCTTCAAACATTCTAAACCATAAATACCCTAAAACCCTGAACCCAAAAACCCTAAATCCCCAAAACACTGAACCACCCTATATTAATTTGGGACATCGGGGACCTGCTTCGGCCGCTTTTGGGCCTCCAGTTCGTTGTCATGTTCTACCATCAAAGGGGACAAGGAGGGACCCTTAATGGGGACCCCTACCCTGTAACAGGCTATATAACGGGTATATATATATATATATATATATATATATATAGCTATATTAAGGGTATGTACCTAGGGGTCCTTATTAAGGGTCCCTCCTTTTACCCTTGGATACAAAGGCTCTGCTTAGAGGCCCAGGGGGCTTCGTAAGGAGTAAGGTTCCTTAACGGGGTTCCTTTAAAGGGGATCCAGAGGGGCTCTATAAACTGGGAGTTTTAGAGGCCCAGGGGACCTAGTAAGTAGGGAATAAGTAGAGTTATAAGTACCCTACGTGGAGTTACCCCAAGCATAACCCTACTTATTTAACCGACTTACAATGTCCCCTGGGCCTGCAACTGAAATGGCTGTGTACAACAAGGGGATTACCGCTTAGGGCTTAAACTGACTGCAATTGAAATACATAATCCTCATTAGGGAAGAGGGAGTCCTCTCTGACATCAACTAAACAAACCCTAAACCCGAAATCTTGAGCATGAAACACAAACTCGTGAATTCCAAAGCCCCAACCACAAATCCTGAACGGTTCCATGCCTGAGGCAAAAACATGCGATTCAGCGACCTCCAGATTGCGCTTCGCATCTGAAGCTTCTGCCAGGACTTGACATCCTGACACAGGCTGCTTTCACTTGTAGGGCTCAAGGTTTCGGGTTTAGGGCTCGGGGCGTAAACCTTAAATCCTGATGTCTAAACGGTAAGCTCTTTTCACCCTAACCCTAAACTCCCTTACGCGTTTAACGCGAAACCCCACAGTAACCCCTTAACCCTAAGCCCGAAAGCCGAAGCCCGAAACCCTGAAGCCTAAACCCTTAATTCTCAACTCCACAGAAAGCCTTTGACCCTAAACCCTAAGCCCGAAACTCTCATGGAGTGCAGTTTGAACCCGGAGATGAGATGATTTTGGTTCAAGAAAGGGCGGCTGTTTATACGCATGTGTCACATATATATATATATATATATATATATATATGTATATATATATATATGTACTATATATACATATATATATATATATATATATATATTATGTATGTATGTGCACACATATAATGTACTTGCATGTGACATTTGTATGTGCATACGTACGTACGTACATACGCATGCATGCATGTACATATATACGGAGGTATACATACATATGAGCATGAATAGGGTGTCTATGAAGCCTTATCTGGGGCCTCCACATACAAGGGCCCTCATAAATGACGACCCTGGGCCCTTGCAAAGGACGACCCTGCTATCTAACAACCTCAGACAAAAACAACGGCTAAAGACTAGTCATCAAGGAAAGTCAGGCCATAATCCCTAAACTTCTAAAGCCTAACCCTTAATTACATCCCTATCGCTATTGGAAGCCTCAAAGGAACCCTTATGGAACCCTGGCCTAAAGCCCCCGAAAGCCCTAAACTCAAAGCCCTGCAAGCCTGCCCTTGTACGATGGGCTTCGCCTGCGTGAAGATCACGAACCTGGTTTAGGGTTTAGGGTTTAGGGTTTAGGGTTTTGGGGTTTAGGGTTTAGGGTTTAGGGTTTAGGATTTAAGGTTTTGGGTTCTTAAGTCTTAAGTTACCAGAATAAGGATCTATCGAAAATGAGATTGTTTTCTTACTGGCTCGGGCTGGACTCTGGCACATTACTCTAAGGGTCCAAGTACCGTACGCTTGATATAGGGGCCTTAATACTTAGACTAGGGTTTTGGGGCCCATTATAATTATACTATAACTACAATATGGAACCCCCCAAACTAGTATAGGTATTTATTAAGGCCCATATGCTAAACCTAAACCCGAAACCCTGAAAACCCGAGAACACCCAGCCCCCAACCCTTCGACTGCAGGACCAACGGTGACTCAAGGCTAAACCCCACACCCCGATACACTTAAGCTAAACCTTTAAACCATTAAGAACCCGAAACCCTTAAAAAGCACCCCCGCCCTTCGACTGCAGGACCCACCCCCAGGTCTCAAAGGACTCATATACTACGGCTTTTGAGCCCCAAATCCCCTAAACTAAAAACTCTCAACCCAAACTCAAAATTCTAAACCCTAACCCCCAAAATACTAAACTCGAAACTCTAAACCCTAGCCCCAAAAGGACTAAACTCTAAACTCAGAACCCTAAACCCTAACCCCATTTTGTCGGGGGCCTCAAAAGGTAGGATGAAGGTAGGTGGGATATTCCCAAATAAGAGTCCTTATATAAGGGATCCTTAATCCCACCTACCTTCATCCCACCTTGTGAGGCCTCCGATTTTGAGCCCCTGGGAGCGGTGATCCGAGGCGCGGTGTGTCCAAGTCCACTGCGGCGAAGGAGGCACCCAAAGAGTCGCCCTCCTGTCGGAACCTCGGAGCTTTTTAAGGGTGTAGGGTATAGAATTTAAGGGTTTAGGGGTTTAGGGGTTTAGGGTTTAGGGGTTTAGGGTTTAGGGGTTTAGGGTTTAGGGGTTTAGTGCCGGTTTAGGGTGTAGGGTTTGGGTTTCGGGTCTGATTCATAGGGCTTTAAGCTTTCAAAACTTCAGGGCTTTAGAGCCTTAGAGTTTCAAAGCTTTAGAGCTTTAGGGCTTCAGGGTTTAAGGGCTGAGGAGTTTAAGGCTTTTGGGTTTTAGGGTTTAGGGCTTCGTACAACGTGAAGGCTCCGGGGCTTCATAGAATCTTGCGGTTTCCCTTCAGGGGTCCATAAGTGTATTCCAGTGGTTTGGGTTCAAGGTTAGGGAGCCCTAGATCACGCCTTGTAGACCATGAAGCCCTGAAAGCCCTAAAGCCCTAACGGTTAGGGCTTTAGGGCTTTGGGGCTTTCAGGGCTTCATGGTCTTCAAGGCGTGATCTAGGGCTCCTTGACAGGATGTGTAAGCTTTTGTGGGACTTGGCCTTTGGGCGTTAGGCGTTAGGGCTTGTACGGAGGAAGGGCTTTAGGGCTCTAGGGTTTGTGGTTTTAGGGTGTTTCAGTCTTCCACCCTTTAAAGTTTGGGGGGCTTTGCGGCTTTGTAGGGTTTAGGGCTTTAGTGTGTTTAAGTTTGGAGCTTTCGGGCTACGTAAAGCTTTAGGGCTTTTGGGCTTTGGGGTCTTCGGGTTTCGGGCCGGGGTGATCTTCAGCTAGGATGTTTAGGATTTAGGCTCCAAACGGGCCCTTGAAGAGCCTTGGATACGCGTCATAAGTGTTTTATGATCTACTTCGCGGCAGGAGTTGGCGGACGCTAAACCCAAAACCAGCGTTTCTAATTTCTGTTGCCAGGCAGCTCAAGCACGCCAATAATGCTCGTCATCACCACACCAACCAACAGAACGCCTACAGGAGCGGCATACTTGATGTCGTAACCTTCCTGGCTCGCATTTACAGACATAGGACTTAGCGTTTGGGTTGTTCTGCTTCGCGTCCAGCAGTTTTAGGTTTAGGGTTCAGCAACCAGAAAGAACGAGTCCAAGGTCTGGTAGGTTCGTCTCTGGGTCCGGTTAACAGCACCTGAATCATCAGAGTAATATAGGAACCTGATTAAGAAACCCTGGGTCCTTATCAGGGTTCCTGACATGAATCCTACTGTTTTGAGGTTATAGGCCCAGGGTTTCTTAATAATCAGGTTCCTACATTAGGGGTTCTGGCGTACATTACATTGGTTTAGGGTTTGGGGTTCTATCGTGCGCTTATAGAAAGGAGACCTAGAAAAATGCGAAATATTCAGGCTTCTGCATTATGGCCTCAAGCACGCATCCTGCGTGGCTGATGCCGGCTTTGCACGCCCTGCTCGCTAAACTTGGCACTTCAGGCAGTAGGAAGTACCCAAGCGAAAGCCCGGAACAACGATCGTCCTATACTCAAAAAAGCCTTAAACTCTACTCCCTAGCAGCCTGCGCCCTCAACCCCGAGACCCTCAACCCTAGCATCCTGCACCCTAAAACTGACACCTGCAAGTCCCGCCCCTCACCCCCTCCCGGCTCCCTCCCTAAACCCTAAAACCCTCAAGCCCTAAGCCCTAAAACCTTTGTTCAGAACCATGTCCTGAACAATCCAGTGGGCATTGACGATGGTGTCGCCCCAGCATTTCCTAGAGCAGGCCCGAGGGAGGTACTATAAGGTCTCCATGAAGGTTAGCTTAAGAGTTCTCTACGGGTTCTATAAGGGTTACTATAGGGGTCTCAAGTTTGAGGGCTATAGTTCTATGTGGACCATGAGGGAAAACGATCAAAGGTTACAGGGTATGTAGACCTGTATATTAGCGATTTTGAGGACTTCGGATTGGTTCCAGGATCGAGATGTAGGCCACTCATAGCGAATAAGCGGGAATATACCGGACCTCCATACCAACACAAGGCCCAAACAGGTAGAGCGGCACCTCAGCGTCACATGACGCCGTGATTTGTGGAACTGCATAGGGGCAGTAGTGGACCCGTGTCCATACCCTTTCTATCACAGTAACACATAGTTCATAGTGTTAAACATAGTTTTTCCGGCCTGCCTCAGTTCGTATGGTGAAGGCAGGTAGCACACGCGGCCCTCAGAATCTTGCAGGAGCGGTTTCAAGCCAAAGGGGCTGAGGCTGCAGAGCTCTGCAGTACGACTCAAGGCAGGGAAGGGCGAAGCTGAACCAATGCATTCACGAATCGCTGAACTTACTTGCCACCACTTCAATTAGAGTTTCGAACAAGGTTTAGTTTGGGTTTAATTGGTCAAAACCCTTAAACCTGAAAGCCGTTAGTGAAGGGAGTAGCCCACACCCTCGTAGCAATCAAAAATCATCCGCGAAACCCCAAACCCGAAATCCTAGTCCTACTAAGCTGCATAAGCATTGAAACAACCCAAAGTCACACAAAAATGTTCAGAACCCAAACAACAAAAATCCTAAGCCCCAAGTTGCCAAGAGCCCTACACACCTCCAACCTAACCCCAACATCCTGAACCGTAACCCAACTCCCTCCGTCAAAGAGGAAGAAAAGATGCTGCCGCGGCCAGGCGTCAGCCACGACCACACGAAGAGGGCCAGGCCGGCAACTTGGAGAATGGCTTGGATTGGAGGTTTAGACTTATATATATATATATCTCTCTCTCTCTCTCTCTTTTTTTTTGGGGGGGGGCTCCTTTTTCCAGCTGATTCGTGAGGTCTCGGCCAGAAGGTCACATGGACCAGGAGAGGACAGGCAATAAGCCACATGCCTCATATAGGGTTTAGGGCTTGGCGTTTAGGGTTTGCCGCGATGCATTGCGGCACGAAAAGATATGCACACGTTCTACTTGTACGCATAGTCATACTCCATACTGCTATCGCGGGAGCCACCTAAGAGACTCTACTCTAGACTCTAAACCCTACTCCCTAAACCCTCCGAATAATATTCAGTCATATTCCACTCTAAGCCATGAACTGGACTCCTAAACCCTACTCCCTAACCACCACCCCCTCCCCCCCCGCCCTCCAAAACAACACCGATAAAAAATCCAAGAGGCCCTGTTGGGCCATTTGAAACATCGAGGCCTTCTCCGGTGACTCGCCTTTTGCCTCCGCGCCCTTGGGCGCGCCTCGCGGGAGCCGCTCTTTAGTCTTGCTTAGGGCCCTAAAAGCCTTAAAGTGTTGCCACTTGTTTGGGGAATATGTCCGCATATGAATGTATATGTGTACATAAGGTATAGGAAAACACATGCATGCATGCATGCATGCATGCATGCATTGCGAACGAACATCGAACACAAGGACGTACTTACATACTTGCATGCTTGCTACATACTTGCAATGCATGCATACATACATACATACATGCACACAACATACGACATGCATACGCGCGCAGAGGCGAACATACCGACATGTGCACCCGTATAACGACATGTGCACCGGTGTAACAGTCTTGGGACCATGGTATTGCAATCACTTGCTACGAAGAGTTACTACGGGCTGCGTGAAGTATCTTATCTAGTACTATTCAGTTTGACAGCTCTGGACTTGCTATAGGTTGGCTAGGGAGCATTTCAGGTTACTGCAGACCATACATCGTGCCATGTTTAATGCAAAACGTGATGTTCGACACTAGTATGCCAACGTTGGCTCTTGCGAACTTACAGCGTGACCAGATACAGCATTCTCTTGTGTACTGAAAGTACGGACCATTTTCTCGGCTGCGAGCCTGCCGTCGGAGCGGCGGCAGGGGCTGTCAGCTCAGTCGCTGCCGTCGAAGCGGTGACTGCTGTCATGGGTGCGGTCGCCGGAACCGTCGGTGCAGAGCCAGCTGCCGTGGGCGTCGCGGGTGCTGGCCTGCTCGACGAATCGAATCGGAAATTGGGAGCTTCGGGCTTCTTTGGAAGGTCTTGCTTCGAAGCGTTGCTTACCAAGTCGTTTAGGTGTTTTGGGGTCGCACAGGCGCTGAAAGGCCTCATAGGAAAGGTTTGGGATCTCTGTGCGCCAGAGGTGGAGCAAGAGAGTGAATCGGTCATCCTTGTGGCGCTGAGAACCCATAGCCCAAACTTCCAAGCCCTAAACTTCCTCAACCCTAATCCTGCATCCTCTCCTATAGAAGCCCTTCTAAATCGCCACAAACTCTAAGAAAATGCCCAGACCCTACTTAACAGCCGATGTAGCCACGAAAACCCTTTAAACCCAAACCCTTAAACCCGATGTGAACCCCAAACCCCCCTATTGTATAGGGCCTGCAAAGGAACCCGCAATCCCTGCATAAACACAAAAAAACCGAAACGTTAAACCCCAAAACCCTCGAGAAACATTGAAGGAGCCCTTGTAGCTCCGTACCCTTCAAGAAAACCTTAGTCTAAGGTTGAAGCCATGGGCCTCTAGTATGGGCCCTTAACGCTGGGAGCCACACATACCTACTATATACGCTGTAGGTATTCTTTAGGGTCCCCGAAAAAGGCTAGGGGCCCATACTTTTAACCTTCACACTTAAAGGAACCCTGGAGCACCCCGAAAGGAATCGTTTCCGAACCAGAGATGCGGCATACTTACAGGAGTCGTAACAACATGCCGTGATGATCACAACCTAAATATGCTAGAACATACTTACTATAGGGGCCTTAATAATTAGAGTAGGGTTTTGGGGCCCATTAGACTATAACTATAATAAGGAACCCCCAAAAGAGTATTGGTATTTTTTTCGGCCCTTATGTTAATGTCAAGGCCCCTATACTTACTCGTCCAGTACGATGTGGGAACTAAAGGTTGACCTTGGAGATTACATAGGACATGCAGATTATAGTATCCGAACAAAGGTTACAGGCTACATTCTCCACCGCTGATAAAGTATGTTACCCTTGGAGTCCAAGCATCTTCGCCGTTGGGTGCAACGACGACTCGCGAGGCAAAGCAGAGGTCGGGCTGCATCCTCTCGCTGCGGTTGCTGCCGGGGTTTTCAAAATTTAGGGTTCAGGGGCGTTTAAAGTTTCAGATTTTTTGGGCTCAAAGCAGTTAGGGTTCTGCGTTTTAAGGGCGGGGCTGCGAGCTACTCGATCTGCAGGGAAGCACCTAGGCTTTGGATCTATTTCCCTACACCCTAAACCCCAAACTCCCCATCTCTGATGACGAAACGCAAATTCTGTTAAAAACGACAAACGCACACATAGTTCCACGACGCCCCAAACCTTGTATCGGGTTGCCTTCGACCCCTTGTAGAACCCTTGCGGGACCCCTGCAGCATCCGAAACCGAAAGCCATCCTACACCGCTCAATTCTATGAAACCCCAAGCTCCTAAATCCTGAGCCCAATACAACCCAAAAGAACCCTTCTAGTACCCTGAAGCGCATCCTTAACGGCCCCTTAGACCAACGCTCAGGCCACTCTTGCCTTGATTGTTGCTGTTCTGCCCTGCGGTGATGGACATCCGCGACGTCGCAGGGGCCGCCTACTGTTGTTTGGGGGCATAGGGCTTATAGGGCTTAGGGTTGTGGGTTTACGGTTTAAGGTTGAATTTTCTTGCATTTACGGTGTGGGGGTTCGGAGTTTGGGTATAGCCCTGACAACCTGAGCCAGAAGCCACACGGCTATGATTCAGGAGTGTCGTTACTTTCTACTGTCAGTCATTGAAAGGTACAGAACACAGGTGAGTATCATCCAAAATCATGTCCGCTGGCGCCGCAAAGCCTGACACCCACAGCCCGCAACCTTAAACCCTGAACCTTAAAGCTCAAAACCCATATGAGCTTCAAGCTCTAAAGCCCTTAGCCGCTAAACCTTTAACCCTTTGATCGTGCCTGCGCTTCCTCCCCATGCCGGGGCACCTCTGGGGTGTCGGAGACCTGGCCCCAAAGAGCCCGATTCGGTACCTGTCACCTGCGAAGTACACCTTGAATCAGAGTAACAAGCCTTGTATATTTCAGGATACAATGTCAAAGGGGGCTCACTGATACACATGAAAATACATATACATGTGTGCATATATATATATATACATACATACATACATACATACATACATACATGTTTATATGCATATATATAGATATACACATATGTATATATATATACACACAACCATTTTTATAGCACCATAGATAACTGGGTGTAGGATTTCTGAAGGTCTGGGCTTGGCTAGGAATGTTGCCTGAGGAAAAAGTCTCAAAGGTTTCAACCTGCACATCATACTGTTTGAGATATGTAGTGCCGTTGGCCTTAGGGTTACTAGGCCCCAAAATCTAATTGAGCACTTCCCGAATTTGCATGGCTTGGAGCTTGCAGTTTTTGTCTTCCGCGGAATACATTGAAAGGGGCTTACGACATAGAGTCGAGTGTAGGTGTGCATGAAAGCGACTTTTACTACGACATATTCAAGCCCCTTTGTGCTACATATTCAGACCCCCGCCTCGTCGCCAGGCGGCAATGCAGCCGTCTCTTCGCCAGGCGGCAATGCAACCGTCTCTTCGCCAGACGGCAGTGCAGCTCCCGGGTCTGTCGCATAAACAATGTTCATGACATCTGTAAGAATCTGTATGCACAGTTGAGGGCAGCCCTGTCAGAAACCCTTGAGCCTTACACGTAAAATCCTTTGAGGTTGACCTCAAACCTTAAACCCTGAAAAATGCAAACTTTTGCACGGAAAAACATCGCAGCTGTAGTCGCGACTTCAAATGGGCCTTCCCCTGTCACAACCTTCCAACACCCAAACGGAAAACACGCACAGTAGACATCAAGAACGTCAAACTTCAACAAGACGTGTACTGTGTCCTCGATGCCAGCTCCACCAGTTCCCACATCGCAGTCGTTGTAGGCTATGTATCTATACGAGTATAGAGCTTAGAGCTTGTAAGGTTTAGAACATGTGCCTGCCAGGGAACCCGATTCAAAACATCCTCGGGCGCAGCTATGCTATGCCAGAAGCACCCAATGTAGTTTGCATAGCAACTGGCATTTGCGATTACGGGTTCATTAGGGCTGAAACCGGCATTCGGCTCCGGGTGCCCCTGGCTGAAGCGACTGGGGGTGAAATGTGTCGCATGCGGCTGCCGGAGTGACCCTGGCTTTAAAGACGCACGCCTCA